TCTCGTGTTATAAGATGAGATGAGACCATCTCATCCCATCGACGACACCGGATGTGGGCTAAGGCTCTATGCGATAGGGAGAAGAGACACGGTATGTCATGTAGAGTGAAACATGTTAGTGAGTCACCATATGCGGAGCTAGCAAGCCAGACAGTGGAATTAACTTATACCACCAAGCCATCAACCTTATCTAACAAAGGAAGCCATCCAAGCAGGATACCATGACAGATATATCCCCTTCAAGACCCCATAATCGACCCGACAAGCCCACCAAACCACCCCGCCCTTTACATTAAACACCACCCTGTTTGTTCCCCCCCATTCGACTGGCAAATTGTGAAAGAACTCCCAACCCTCCCATACGAGTCGGCAAGGAAGAACTCTTGCATGCCCACAAGTCCATGTTTTAAGCCAAACGTATCATAATCACACCATCCCCAAACACCCACCACAAATTATAGAATGGCATATCGCTCAAGCGAACCAGCTGGTGGTGAGGACATCACTGGCTCTCATCTGCTTTGTGAACGCTTCAACCTCAGCCCAATTCAACCTCTGCCCGACGAGGGAACAAGTTCATAGGGGCTGCCTTCTTGAACTAGCACCGCCTGTTACCATTTGTCAGCATGGAGAGTCGACCCGTTAGGCAAAAGTGATATCTTGTCGAGATGAAGGGGCAGGAAAAGCAAAAATGCTGGAGCTAAGTGCAGGCGAAGCAAAGGTGACAACAAATGGATGAGGTCGGGAGACAATTCCTGTTTTCTTTGGTGGAGTGGAAGAGGGAGGTAATTTGTGTTGGCGGCGGAGAGGTGGCGGCCGGGAGAGCTTTGTTCGCCTGCCGGCTTTTCGGCCGGGTTTTTGGCTGCCTAGGCATGTGGGGCCGAGGAATGGTGTCGTTTGGTGACCCACAACTCCGGGGATGTGGGGCCGAGAAGTGGCGACATGCGGAGCAGGGCGGGACCGGGCACCGGTTTGATGCCATTTTGCTGATGGTCGCTAGTGGACTCTTTGTCATGACGAGAGAGGTTCAATATTTTGAAGGCAAATTTGTTTCATTTTCATATCACGCTCGGAGAATGGCATAGAAAGACTTGTTAAATTGACCGTAGTATCACGCCAGAAGGCTGTATAGCAGACTGGCAAAGTGCAAAGTGCACAAAAACACAATACTCCGCTCTTCCCTTAACCCCCTTTCACTCATCGTTGATTAGTCATCGGAGACAGGAGGCGGTGCCGGAGTCCTCGGAGCAGCGACAATCCCCTTGTACTCCTTCAGCCACTCATTCCAGGGTCTGCCTCCGGAGGTCTGGAGGTAGAGCTGATGCTTCTCGTAAGAGGCATTACTTCCCCCGGTCTGGGCAAAGTTCTTCCATGGCTGTTTCTGTTCCTCTGGTGACCGAGGGCTTGGTGTTAGCGTTGAGAAGCAGCGGTGCAGTGACAAGGAGGCAATGGGAGAGTACCTGTGGCGATGAAGCCCATGTTGAATTGGCTCTTTGTATACGGATTTGAGAAGCTGTAGTCTGGCTTTGGCGATAGAGATGTTTAATGCATCGATTCATGCGAGCAGAAGGAGGAGAAAAGAGGGCACTAAATCTCACAACCTGGTGTCTATAAATCTACAGATCAACACCCTCCAAAGCCCGCAGAAGGTCTTCACATGTCGTCCCTTTGAGCAATCCTTCACGCCAGTGACAGTAGTTTGGAACCCCTAAAGCGGGGAACCCACACATGTCAGGCTGCGACCTCACACAACTCGCCGATCAACACTGCTCACCGGCTGCACCACCATGCTGTCTCGTGAGCGATTTTTTCATTAGAAGGGTGTGTCCGGCAGTGCTATGATTTGCCGTCTTCAGAGCCTTGTCTTGATGGTTGGTGATGACGACAATCTTGCAGTCTAGCGTCAAAGACCAGTAGGCCCAAGGATTATAACAGATATATTTAACGAGGGATACCTGCAGCATTGGTGAAGGGTGCAGCAACGCCAAGAAACTCCCTACATGGGGGAAACCTGCCTGGAAGCCAATAAGAGTTGCATGGGGTATCTTCCTGACACCACTCGGTTGAAACCACGACGGCTTGGCACCCGGTTATTGAACAAGTGTGGGATTACCCCACGAGAACGCCATCAATAGCTTTCTCCACGGAGGGCTGCCGAAGGCTTTAGGTAATATGCGGCTCTGCTTGGTAGTTGGGTCTTTGTGCTGTTTCGTTTGTCGAATCGTTGATGCGTTGGTGGTTATCATCATTCTCAACACAATCTTCTAGAGATTGATGTTTTGATATACAACATGGAGACAGCAATAGCAACAGTGGTCTACCTTGACAAGCCACCATACAAAAACGAAAAGCCGTATTTCTGCTGCCTCCCACCGGAGTTTTTGCAAGGAAATTCCTCAACTAATCACGTCCATATCCCAGCCGATATCACCGTCACCAACATTAGAAGCGAGGTAGCAACATTCAGCCTCGACGAAAATGGCTTCGAGGTGGCGGAACAGACCCTGGATGACCAGTTCAATTATGAGAGCGTGAAGTCCGGCAGCGAGATCGAGCAGCGCTACATTCAGGAAATGGAAGCGTTTCTGACAGAAAGATTCGAGGCCAAGAAAGTCGTCGTCTTTGATGTAGAGGTACGTGTTGGACGCAGTGTCTTCTGTCAGCAGTTCAGCACATCCTGATCAACCCAAGACTCGGAAGAGGAACCGCGAATTTCCGGGCAACATCGGGGAGAAGTCAAGCTTGGAGCAGCCTGTCCGTGGTGTCCATGTTGGTGAGTGATAGTTGGATGATCTCCAGAGGTGGAGCTAATCCTCTGGGCAGACTCCTCTCCAGCCAGCGCGATCGAGAGAGCTGTGTACATTGTCCGGCAACATAACCTCGACGAGCAATTGCTTTCTGGGAGGATGCAGATCATAAAGTCAGGTGCCTCACTCATGATCATGCCATCCATGTGGTGCTGACCTATCTCCAACTCGAAGCTCATGGCGGCCGTTCTTCTCTGACCTCGAGGACTGGCCGTTGGGGTTGTGCGATGCCAGAACCATTGACATCGAGGAAGATATAATACCTTCCGACACGGTATTTCCGAACAACGTCGCGGAAACGCTACAAGTCCACCGATCCTCGGCCCATAAATGGTACTTTCTTGACAAACAGTCGCAGAATGAGCTGCTGCTATTCAAGATCTTTGATTCGGATGATACCAGCTCCAGAGGTAAGTAAGGATGGATGTTTCAGTAACCAACGATTGGCCACTGATCATATCGGCCAGTTTGTCCACACGCCGCAATCCAACCCAACCTTCGAGGATATGGGGCTGCACGACCAAGAGAGAGTATTGAGACGCGGGCCATGATATTTTATGGATGAAAAACGATCATCCTACTGCGTTGCCATTCAGTCATAATAGTCATAGCAATGAGGTTGCTGCGATAGTCGTTAATCTCGTTAATGTCGGCGGCCAATCCCAAAAAGAAGTGAAACGTCACCTTCTCCACTATCCCTGTCCCATCTAGCAAACGGCGAATAAGAGACTTTGCATGCTCGTCCCAGTGTTTGACAGGTTGTATATGAATAGAACTAGACACCACATGAAGATGCTAGCCGTTCCCAAGAATCGTTTCCACGGCCCATTTCCACCAACTCCCCGGAGAATCAGCATCTCCCATTGAAGCCGACCTGCGGAATCCCAAATCATCCCGTTTTGTATAGCCCTCTGCGAGGCAGTGTAAGCAATCCGATCAGTCCTGGTTAAGATTGTAAAGGAGCACACCTTTCAACAGAATCCCGCACTGATCCAAGTACGTGCGCTCGGTGTCCCCGAAGCCTTCCCATGCTCTAGCACCGGGCTTCAAGAATGGATCACGACCATTGATTGCGGAAAAGTAAGAAGCAATTCTCTTGGAGGAATAGCTTCGAAGCCCTCCAAACGTTGACCAGGGGCACTCGATGGGCTTCTCCTAATCTGGGTTAGCAGGTTGTCATCCTCATGTGGTGTTAGTAGAGAAGCTGAACGAGAAGTCGAATACGTACGAGCCCTGGGAAATGACTGTAAAAGCTCATCTCGAGATTCTCGCTGAGGATGACTTGGAAGATGAAGGTCACTAGAAAGATCTCAAACCAGTCCTCCTTTTTCCTAGCATAAATCTTCTTGGTGAAGGCGTGGATGACGGACTTCTCCAGGAAGCGCAAGTGATCCTTCAGTATGTTGTTGAGAGTCTCTGCTTCAGCAAGTGACCTTGGTGTTGAAACAGGCAACGCTCGCCACGGCGCGTCCATCCATGCTACTCTGTAGTTCTCAGTCACTGTATCAACCTGTACCCAGTAGGTCCGGCGTAGGAATCTTGCGGCAAAGATGTACAAAGCATGCCGTAACATTGTCTTTGGACACAGGGGGAATTACTGTCAGCTTCTGCATAACCGCACATACTTCGGTGCGGATAGCTTACACGTGTCTTCGACCCTGTTGGCCTGCTATACCTCTCAGCTACCTTCAGAGTAGTAGCAATGAAGCTGTTGTTTGTGCCCAGCGTCTCGATGATGGATGCCAAGTGCAACTCCAAGTATCGAGCGAGAACACCACTCTTGTTCAAGTCCTCTGAAGTTGGTGCATGTTGGGTGGCGAGTTCCCTTTCCCGATTGGCATCGTTCAGAAGATTTGGGGCGAATCGCTGGAACGTACCAAACTCATGAACCGCGAACGTATCAGCGACCGTCAGTGGGCAGTTTTGACTTAATTGTGATTCCAGTGGATTGGTATCGACGATACTCGCGCTGCGCCGTGGCAGATCCGATTCGCTGCTCTGCTCGTAATAATAAACGAAAAGACCGATTTGAGTGCCTAAAGGATTAGCGATCGATCAAGAGCGTAGGTGCACAAATACTCACGCCGCCTATAAAGCTCAATATCGTCTAGTGTTGCTGGCTGACATGGCACACGTAGTATGGATCTCTCATTCTGCAATACTCTGACGCATCGTAGGCATGGTGTGCCATCGCTACACTGCAAACGTGTGAGCAAAAATGGAGGCGGGAGTGTTTGTATTGGTATGTGTACAGACCTTTTCCCTCATTACTCGGCATAGTAAGCAAGTGCTCTCCTTCTTGACTTGACTAGTGGCTTGTCGTTCGGCATTCGCCTTGCGCTTAGGAACACGGCTGTGAAGCATGGCACTTGGGAGAGGATCTGAAGTTGCAACAGAAGCAGGACATGGAAACAGAGCAGGATAGGAGCTTATTGTCGATACGCCGCTGGCTTTCGAGACTTTTTGCGTGCTATTGGACTGGGGTTGGTTATCGACTCGCTGTCGTTTCTGATTGAAATCGCGTGAACTGCTATCTTGACTGTTTGGTATTTGGGATTCGATATCCAAGGCCTTCAACCTTATGTCCTTCTCCATTTCGGCAAGCCGCGCTCCATCCCACAGCGATGCCGGCAATGACTCAGGGTTGCTGGTAATGACCAGGATATGCGAATGACTGAAGCCCGGAGGAGCCACCAGAAGTCTGGGTCTAGAAGTGAAAGGGATGCCACGGTCTCTCTGAGGTGCCGAGAGGCTTGTAGCAGGTTCCGATAAAGCATCTGGCGACTGTGCTAGTGTAGAAGGGCTTGATGGTATCTGCGGCTGCGCGGAAAGGGCGTCGAGAGTGGCTGAGTCCTGGTCCGACTGACGCTCATTGTCCTGGGAACATATCAGGTGTTGGGAATCATTAGAGTCTGGTGGGATGCCCAGGGTCGCTTCAATGAGCTGCGGCGACATTCTCTGAAGGTTTCTGTTCCCTTGGTAGAACATGCTGAAAACTTCCTCGAGGTCATACCGATCGGGGTCTTCTTCGGGAAGGAAGACCGTTCCACTACCTGGGATATCCAATTGGAGGCCCATACAAGGGATGAAGTTGTCCTGGGTATGAGTCTCATTTGGGACCAAATACCGTGGCTCGGATTCACGCCGCTGTCCGGAAACCGATATATAAGTGTTTGCGTCATTCATGCCCAAGGAAATCGCAAATGGATTGGAGACGGCACCCGAATAATTTACTGCAGGTATTAGAAAGTTCTGGGAACGGAGTGAGTCTCCCAAGCCCTGGTTCGGAACCGGATGTTCGGGAAGCGGTGAGGGCGGTGAAGCGATGTTGATAGGAAATGCCAATCCGCTAATTGGCACATTCGTGGCGTCGCTTGTGGCGTGAATAGGGGGGAAATCATATTCGTAAGAGGCAGGATTTAAATCGAAAGCTACCCCTTCATCTTGAACATCAAATGGGAGGTAAGCGAACGGGTCATCCTCGAAGGGGATCTGTGGTGCATCGCTGGGTCCCAAAAAATCACGCATGGGAAGCTGCCTGTAACAGTGGTTCATCGGTGGAATGGGATCGTCTTATTCCGTGTCTGGAGATTCGTCACAGCCCGCGTGGGGTGGGGTTGTCCGGAGAAGAGAAACATTTGGATTACATACCCTAAGTCTGTCATCGAGAAGTGGTCCGCGGTCTTATATTTCGGCAACCTTGGCCTGTTAATTCCAATCGGACAGACACTCTTCATTTTGCGCGATGAAGAAAGCCTTTCCAGCGATGGTTTGGGTGCCACAAGTTGGAAGCGGTGCAACTGCAGTGCAACCACGAGATAAGCAATCGCGGGATGTTGCCCTCCGACTGCTTTGACCGGTGTGGCACGTGCTCCAGAGCCTTGCCAGCATGCCTGTGTCTCATGTGTGTGGAATGCAAAGATTAAAGGCAAGAAGAACAAGGCCCCGCTACCTCAAAAATGCAGAGGTGGCATCCATCCTGCCCTACTCCAAGCCAACAGTGTTGCTGCAGCATGTTCAACCCCGCCAAAGTATAAGATGTATCAGCCAAACCAAACCTCAAGTCGGGAAACCACATTGAGGTACTTGACTTGGGACACACCTCTCTCAGATCAGCATGAGAAAGCCGTTCAGAAAATCAGAGACCCCACCAAATGGCCAGCCCAAGAAAAGCATTTTGTAGCTGGCCTCAGTATTCTCACAACATTCATGGCTGCATATTCCATCTCCGCATACGTTTCTGGGGTTAGCTCCATCGCCGCCGAATATGGGTCATCTCGCACTGTAGTCCTTGTCGGCATGCCTACGTTTCAAACAGCCTTTGCTGCAGCGCCAATGGTTCTGGCTCCTTTCAGCGAATTTGTTGGCCGGAAACCTGTCTTCTTGAGTACATATGGACTCTACATCCGTAGGTAGCTAGCGGACCCATCCCCCGAGTGACAGTTGTGACGCTAATGCACGTCGATCGGATGTCAGTTTGTACCCTGCTTATTCCTGTTGTTAACAATCTTTCGGGACTCCTGATTACCAGGTTCTTTCAAGGTGTTGGTGCCAGCACATTCAGCACCATGGTTGGAGGCATTATCGCAGACATTTACCAGCCCCACGAGCGTGGTATGCCAATGTCGTTGTTCGCAACAGCATCCTTCTCAGGCGGAATAGGCCAGCTGGCGTCAAACTTCGTAGTTGAACCCTTGGGTTGGCGCTGGATCTACTGGCACCAGCTGATTGCCAACGCCCTTCTCATGGCCCTGATTTTCTTTTTCTTTCAGGAATGCCGCGGACCACTGCTCTTGAGTAGAAGGGCAAAGATCCTCAATTCGGCTGACTTGGCCCCGTGCAATGAAAAGCTGTCGACACCTCGCATCACTTGGAAGGTGAAAGAGGAAGAAGAGCGTGCCACCCTGAAGCAAATGATTCGAATCAGTCTAACCAGACCGTTTTGTAAGTTGGCTCTGTCCGGAATAGTATCTTGGAACCTAATCGGAGACTTGACAGATCTACTCTTTACTGAGCCAGTCGTATTCTGGTTCAGTATGTGGATCTCTTTCAGCTGGGCGCTGCTCTTCATGTGAGAAGCCAATAATGATACCAGGCAGCTGGCTGACACTGCTGACGACTGGATTATAGGTTCTATGTGTCAGTGCCTCTCACATTTGAAACGACATATTCGTTCACACCGCGACAGGCTGGCCTTGTAATGCTGGCAACCGTCGTCGGTGCGGGTCTCGGAAATCTTTGTTACCCTTTCCAAGAACGACTCTACCGCAAATATGTCACTGAACAACCCAGGTTCAGTCTTCTCCGTCAGTTCATAAAAAGGCCAGATTCTTCTGGCTTGTGCAGTGACTGGAACCCAGAAGCTAGATTGTATACAGCATGCCTTCTAAGTATTGCAATGTCCATCGGAATGTTCATGTACGCAGAACTGCTGAACTTTCAGCCTCTTGCAATGCCCGCTGACCTCCTCGCTAGGTACGGGTCACTCATGATGCCAGATATTCACTGGATATTTGCAGTTCTTTCCGTCACTGTCGTCACGTTCGGGTCTTATTCGATTTACCTCGCCGTCTTTACCTATTTCGCTGATGTGTAAGTCGTGCCGCAATCGGCTTTGCCAGACCACATGCTAACACTAAAGAAAAACCATCAAGCTATGCCACATATGCCAGTTCGGCCATGGCGGCCCAGAGCTTCTGCAGAAATACTGTGGCAGGGGCTCTACCATTGGGCGTGACTCCCAGTAAGCCAGTTCTTGCCGCAATTCTTTGTGTGCGAGACTAACAGGAAGATGAAGTGTTCACGAACCTCGGTTTTATGGAGGCTTCCCTCCTCTTGGGTGGATTTGGACTGTTGATGAGGTGAGCCCATGACCAAAGATGGGGGTCGCAATGACTGACACATGCCGCTTGGGAAGCGTGGTACCGCTGGTTCTGGTTGTTCTAGGTCCAGAGATTCGAGCGAGGAGCAAGTTTGCAAAGGTAAGGCGATCCAGAAGCAAAGGGTTGGGCATGATTCATACTCACTGACTAACCACCACCAGTCCCTCCATTGAACTCTCTTATTTAGGACGGTATGAGTACGTTAGGATGGAAGTGTGGCCGGGGGCAGAGGTTTGAAGCGTGAAGAAAGAAGGGAAGACGGGAGGGGCTGACAGTGCAGATTTTATCACGAAATCGATCTACTGTGAAGGCCTGCTTCGATGTTTCTGACGCATGCTTTCCAATATGCAGCATCAAGGACGTTACTTGCCATTTACGAGCCCAGAAACCAGGCGCATGAACGGCTGCCTAAAATAGATTGAGTATTCTTCTCCCTCGCTGGCAGGAAGTACCGTTAGTCAAACCTGCCATCGGAGGACGCCTACTCCCGACGCGGCGTTGATATGCAACACGAGCCACGACCGGCGAATACTGTGGCTTTTCTCTTCAACGGCCCGCCACAACCGGCAAAAGTCGTGGCGCTTTCCTCAGCACCCCAGCCACAACCGGTGAACAGCGTGGCTTACTCAACGACCTCTGCTCCAGAAACTCTCGTGTGTCACCCCAAACCAAACATACCGGCAACCAAGTTTCTGATATCTTGTCAAGAGCCTGAGCAAAGGCAATGATAGGTTTTGAAGATGTCAAAAGTGAAGAAATATGAGGCTCCATGGGCATCTGTTGCATATGGAGAACAGAGGGCAGGTAGGAGTCATTGACGGCAGGGCAGGCAGGGCAATGAAAGACGTCTATATATACGATGGTTGTCGCCACTGTAATTCCAAATGTCGACATCCTTGAAGCCTTGACAAGCATTTCCCCGGGAACTTCCCCAGACACAAAAGTTTGCGCCACCCTCAGCTGCCATATTCCCGATTGGTCTTTCTATCATGGCTGTTGGAACAACCGGCCCCACATCTCAACGTCTGACCTCGTCTCGGTCTACAGATATCTCAGAGCACTGGCACCTTCACCTCAATATTGTAAGTTCTAGCTTTTAAGGACGTCCTTTGTTACGCTAGTGTCCTACCTTCCAAATCCTCCTTCCACCCTCCCCAGAACTTCCCCCCCTCATAACCCTTTTACTTTCTTCCCATCCTTTTCGCCCAATTTCCCCCAGCCTGGATCGTTCCTCGGAAGCTATGTTTTTCTTCAAAACTTGGCGTGAGGACACATAACGCTCCCACTACACATACTGTGTCATGTGTCGCTTCCCAAGCAGTATTCGAAACTGAACCAATACACCCAGCCCAACATTATCAGCAAGCTAACATGCCTTCCCAATCACAGAACCACAAGTTTGAGACACAGGAGAAACACAAAGCGTTCACTGCTCCGCTAGTCGTGAACCGGTTTCTTGCAGCTGGGTCCGAGTCTGCTTCTACTGTTTGGGAGCGTCTGTTAGACAGAGAGGATGGTTTGTACGTTCATTCTACCTACAATAACGGGGAAGATGCCTAACATGACTGCATTTCTAGCTTGCACAAGAGCCAGACACAGGAGAGGCCAAGTTAACAGGTGATCATAAGTTTGCCCTGCTTACCAGTTGGCGGGAACTTTGCGGCATTGGAATTGAATTTGTGCTATTTGCTTTTTGGTCGTGGGATGCGTTGGGTTGGGTGTTATTGAATTGGAGGGTTGTTGCCTTATCTCGAAATGGTTTTTTTTTTGTTCAAGGGTTTTGTTGATTGAAGTTGGGGGTCTGTTGTTTTGGACACCAAGGCTGGTGAGGGGTGTTGTTGTTATTTGAGATTATATATAGTACAGTGTTCCATGATGAATCACCTTGGAATTTAAGCACTTGATCTGGCCTGCCGGAAGAACATTAGCAGGTAGCATCTGCCAATAGGATAAAGACCGCTGCGGCTGAATTTGGTGGGTGGATATCCAGGTCGGTTTATAGCTGGATAGAGTTATGACTACCTGGTAGACAGTAAAAGGTTGGATACCGAAATATCGGACGGTTTTCAGCCCACGGGCAGAAATTGCCAGGTGGCACCCACTCGGAACTGGGTCATTTGATACCTGGCATACGGCCTGGTTCAGTCATCAAACAACCTACAGTGTTTCCGCCATGCTCAAACACAACCAAAGTCAAAGAACAGGCCAAGGCAAGGCAAATTAGCCTCAGAGGTGTTTATATCGGCTTTTGGAAGGCTTACTTCATGTGAGGGCAGCGAGGCACGCAAAGCAAAGTCCTAAGCATGGAAGTGATGCTGATTCGTAACATTTGATCTTCAGGCCATGGCACGCGTCGTGACACTTCACTTGATTTGACTTGATGCATCGATCTTATTCCTGCCGCCCCCTATTTCCGGATGTCGTCCAATCCCGGCCCCACAACCCCGGAATGTGGGTCCGGCAACCGACCGACATTGGATAAACTGCTCCGAGGTAGCCACACCATCGCCGATCTCCTTTGCCAACGTGGCACGCGCCTTGGGGAGTCTAGAGGGGGCTTCAGACGAGTTGCCATCCTTGTCGAGGGTCGACTGCTGGTGTCCAGCCACCTCGATCATGCGCTCCGTGGTGGCATTGCGCTTCTCCGAGAAGAAGATAGCGTCGAGCCGGTTCATACCACCGAGCTCGTCGAATATGACTTCGCTGTTGATCTTTTGGTAATGGTGCCAGCTGATGAAGAATGAGTCTTCATGGGAGTGGGCAGGGTTCAAAGGTGTGGCTCATTGGAGCCTTTCAGTCTACACTACCTAAGCAAGAGGCGGCACCAAAGAGGTTCACTGTACTCGTTGAATTATCTGGAACATTTCAATGCCGTTCCCAATTGCGAATTCGAACCCCTGAACGCAAGCAAACTATTTTTTGAAGTTTTTTGTGTGATGTACCATTTTTGGTCAATCGGCCAATATTTTCCTCTACGCGCTGGCGCTAGTGATCGATTTTCCTCAATCACACAAAATACTCCCGGTATGGTTAAGCGAACATTTGTTGTGCCCTCTGCTTTGGGTGTTTCTCCGCGCTGCAAATTGCTAGTGGTCAGCTGAATGCCCGCTTTTGCAACTTCAGCTGTGCTGGAAGACACCGGTATATGACGAGGGGTTCATCGATCAGGGACTCTCTGGTTCTAGCCTTTTGAGCATGAGTTATCTCATCTCGATGCTTTGATGCCTATAAGGATCATTCGACTCTCTTTCGTTCAATGCCTTGTGTGCACGACAGTTCTCTTGCAGTTTCCATCAACCATCATTTGCATTGTCATTATCTATTCATCTCACAATGGATCGCAAGATGACAACCATCTTGGCTGTCAAACCGACTGCCAAACCCTTTCAAGATTGGTGGGGCTACCAATCGATTTCCCTCAAGACCACGGCAGGTCAAAAAGCCGACAATGCCGATGGTGAGGGTGTTGTCATATATGTCCTCGAGAACGAATTCTTGCTCAAGCAACAGGTAAATACTCAAATACGCACATGCGATTGAAACTGGCACTGCTTAGGTACAGACTGACTAACATGCGATGTAGTCCGACTGTCAGCCCGGTTTTGATGGGATCGAATTGCTACATGGGCCTGAACCTCGGCTCGACAGGCCGTCAAGCGATTTCCACGGCAATATCGTGTTGAGTATCATCAAGAATACAGCACCCAAGGCAAAGATCTACGTATTGAGGCGGGGAACCACTGCGGAAGAATTGGACTGGATGCTACAGGTCGTCATGAAGCATCGCCAAAGGCACCACCAGGGACAGCCTGCACTCATCAATTGTTCCTTCGGCGTGGGAGTTCGGGCTGTTGCCTCGTCGCAAGTGAATGCTCTTTTTTCTTGTTACAAAACGATCGACAAGGTGCTCGAGGCTGGGATTCTGATTGTAGCCGCCGCGGGAAATGAAAAGGGAATCGAAATAACACCAGAAATGCGAAGCAGATATTTGGGACATGTGGAGTCGCTGAGTTTGCAGGTTGCCCAAATGAAGGAGGCCAACGAGGAGAGCAAGGGGAATGAGAAGATAAAGAAAGCGACTAATAAGAAGGCAGGAGATGCTCTGAATGAGAGCCTGAGGAAGATCGACGGCCTTGGATTGCCTGCCATGCATCCAGGTGTTCTTATGGTTGGAGGTTACGATAAGGGGTTCAACTGCCGCCACTTCTATTACGGCGCAGGTAAGGTGTTCCAGATTCATATTTAACGGGCAAGGTCTAACAGGTCTTCTTCTTCTAGGCATCGATGTTTATGCTCCTGGATGTGATGTCCCGGTTCCGAGGCTCAAAGACGTACAAGGGGGAGGAAAGGAATTCGACCAGGGGACTTCATTTGGTAGGTGCCGCAATCATGATATGCCCGTCCAGCGAAGAATGCTAATATCGATATCAGCTGCTCCGCTGGTTACCGGATCCATTGCTTCATTTCTCATGACCCGGTCGAATGAAGGCGGCAGGAAATTGCCCATACCATTCAACTCGGCTGCCCTCAAACAAAAGGTTCTCGACATGGCTGTGCCAATTGTAGAGCCAACGGTGAACAAAGAAGGTCTTTATCCTTCCACTGGGTACCGCGCGTTCAGGATCCAACGACACAAGATTGATTATGAGAAGGGCACGCAACATGTCCCAGAAAGGACGGAGGAGCAGAAAGAAACAGAGGAGCTTGAACGACGGGAACAGGTCAGAAACGCCAGGAGAGCCAAGGGAGATACTGGGCCAAGATCAAACTCATTAGGAGGCAACTCAAGACTTTCGAAACCGAATCTAGCAAAACTATAGCTGGGGGACTCCACCCTTCGCAACATGAGGACATTAATTACCTAGGTAGCTAGCACAATGGAATTCGGACAGCCTTTCTTTCATGTATTTCTCTGTTTGGCTTGTTATGACAGCCTGGCTAGGATCTGCATCACACATGGGAAGACCCCCACCTGGCCCTCATTGCAGCACATCCAGAAAAGCCTGATCTTCGTTGCACATGAAGGGAAGAAGGGGTTTGAAGATGTAATATGAAATAATTGCATTCTGAACATACTTCCATCTCTCAAAGCCCAAGACCCAGGCACCAAAGCGAGAACAGTATGGTGGCCCGATCCATCCAACACGTGCAATTGGTGATATGGGGGTTGACTGCTTTGGAAGAACCCGTTTCAACAACGAGGTTTCCTGGTGGTCTCACCCCTACCACAGGCCTCTCATCACATGCACGTGAAAATGATCAGATCTTGCAATCCGCCGTAGGCTTAATCGGATACTTCCACAGCCCACTCAGCGCGCAGTCAGCCGCAGTCGACCAATACCAATACTTGTAGGTATACTTGGCCTGACATCGCTTCCTTATATCGACCCGTCGCTGACCATCCGGCGTGAAGAGAGGCGCAACAATGCTAAAAACCTCGCTCAGAATCGGGGCATAGTTCCAGGCAACATACTTCGGATATTCGGGCACGGTCTTTGTCTTCCAAGCAGTGTAAATCTCATCAGCGGATGCGCGCACCGCGTTCCAAGCCTCGTTTTTGTTGGCAATATCTTCCTTGTCAAGCAGCTTCTTGTCACCAAAGGTGTGCCAGGCCCTGCCAATGGGGCTCTTGACAGAGAGACCGATCGCGTTGTCTTCATCGTGCATGTACTTGGCGCATAGATCAGCAGCGCCAACACTGTCGTGGAGCTTGCGTCTCGGGGTGCGCATGTGGCCGGCGGCGAAGGAGTCCTGGAGGAAGTGGTCGCCGAAGGCGTTCATGGCGTAGGCCAGCTCGAGGTTCCCACTGGCGGCGACTTGCAGGGCGATGGAGTGACAGGCGTTGTAAGCAGTGCGGGCGTCGGCGCCGAAGTGGTCCCAGTTGATCTTGGCCAGGCCAAGATAGCTGGGGCATTCGTCAGGACGAGCGATGGTGTAGAGCTGTAGCTGAACGTTGACGTCCGGAATCTTTGGGTAGACAGTCGACGGATCCTGGCCCTTGTCGAGTGCGGCCTGCACCATGTCGACTTCAGTCGAGAGTGTGGTGAGAATCTTCTGCGCCTCGGCTGGGTTGCGAGTCCTGTCCACGGCAAGCCAGTACCAGGCTCGCAGGAAACGCTGGCGCTGGTCCTGCAAGTCCCTGCCGTCGCTGATGGGGTTGACAGTGCCGTAGAAGTCTCCAGCCAGTCCGTTGATCTGACCATATGTCACCTCGAGTCCGTTCGGGAGGGTGAAGGGCTTGTTCTTGGAAACGTAGGACTGCCCGTCGTTCCAAGCCAAGGTTAGGGAATCACCGAGGTAGCTATGCTCGGCATACTCGAAACCGCCGTCTGAAGAGAAAGTCAGCCAAAGGTTTGTGGGTCTGTTTATCGATCATAACAACACTCACCCTTGTGTGGTTTCGTTGCGCGCTCCTGTTTCCACTTGACATAGTCAATCTTGGAAGCGGCTTCGATCTCTTCCTCAGAGACAGGAATGGCGACCAGCTGGGAGTAGTCGTTATGGCCATGGTCTGGCTGAAGTTTCTCCAGCGCTGCTTCGATGTCGGGTGGGGCATTGGGGTCGTTCTCGTGGTCGTAGTCCCATCCAATGGGCTCGTGACCGAGGGTCTCCACGGTGCTGGTTGCACTGTTAGCTCCGTGACCGGCAACAAATGATTGGATGGCTGAGATAACTCACAGTTCCTGAAATTCGGTGGTCATGATGGGGGTGTTTTCCTTGTGAGTGAAAGAGGTGTTGTTGGCAATGTGTTCTGCTATGGTTACTTGGACGAGAGAACCAAGGGGACACTGCTTCTTTATAACCTTTTCATGGGAGATAGCATGGAGCCATCCACATGGATCTCTTGCAAAGCCGACTGATAGCTATCAATCCAAAAGCTTGTACCAAGGTCCAAAGTCCACACGCAATTGCTCTCAGGCATGGTGCATCCCCATGCAAAACTGGGCGTCTTCAGGAACAAGATTGAAGCATGGTGATGGAACCCGAGTTCAATCACATAGCTATCACATCGCTCGATGTGGTATCTAAACAGGAATAGTGACAGCTTGTTGGGCCTGGCTGAATCTGGATATTGGACACTGAGTAAAGTGTATGCAATATACCAGCACACCTAAACAGTCTCACGACCTACCAGGGCTCACCAAGGTATCTTGTGGCTGCAAAGATAGTTTCACCTCTGTTTCCTACCCATGGCAACTATTGGATTGAGCATGTTGCGGCTGTTTGTTTGGGGCCGTCTGAGTGCTCGGATTGCAACTCGGATCCCATCTACCCCTCTCCTGCTGAGCAGCACGGGGTGCATCCCAACTTTTTCAGAAATCGATGCTAAGCCTAATTAGTTGGAGCTTGAGTCCATATTTGGTCAGATCACCGCCTTGTAGGGCTGCGGCTGGCTGAGCGGAGTATGTGGTCCGGTGTATCTCTCTCATGGCAGATGTTCTAGAACCTCAGGAACTGCGTCAATAAAGAGGATACAACTGCGCAGACTTTACACCACCGTATAGGTGTTGGCCAATAATTAGCTGTATGGCGTTCTTTGAGGTTTGCTATAGGCTTTTGCTGCTTGTTCCAGCTGTTGTCAAGCACCGCACTAGTACACATTCAGGGGTTGTGTTACACACCCCTGTCTCGCTCAACATGCGGCTTGAGACTTATGGGGTTTTCTCCCTCTCCTACCCAGGAATTCTCATAGATCACCCCGCTCACACGCAGGCAGCTAGCTACGCCTGATCAACTTGTGACAGTGAAGCTGGGGACCAACTGTTTCTATTATAAAGCCGCTCCTAGATACCATCATCTGATCTTCCCTTTTGCCTCACCATCAGCCAAACCATTCAGTCTAAAGTTTTTACCGACACTCATATTTCACCAACCCTCCTTTACCACCCTTCATCACCAACTCAGCCTGGATCTCCTACCCCCAAGTTGGTGCGGCACGTCCCCAACACCAAACATGGCTACCCCAACCTCGGAACGCTCCACAAAGGAGATCATCATCGGTCAAGTTATCGATGCCCTCGGCGAACATGCCCTCGACACTGTCTCCCCTTCAGACAAGATCCCCTCCCTACCCAGAGACGACTCCTCCCCCGAGGATGACTTCTTCCCCCACTGCATAACCCAGCAGCCCATCCCCAGGCCTTTCCGCGGACCCGGTGCACCCCACAACATCATGGTCGGTCTCGAAAAGGAGTGCCCGCGATGGGCACCTGGGTCAGTCATCAGATGGTATGCACCCCCCTTCCCTTTGATTTTCCCCCTCCTCAAAACCAAGTATACTAACCCCCTGTCAGGGTCGCCCTAACCTCCGGCTTCAAAACCTCTTCCGACGCCTCCTACGCAGCAACCCACCTAAACCTCGCCTGCCAAAAGTGGAACGACCTCTCCATCGGCGTAACCTTCGAATGGGTCACCGACCCCAAAGACGCCACCTTCGCCCTCTGCCACGGCGGCGACAGCGGCGGCACCCTCGCCTCAGCCTTCTTCCCCAACGCCAACGACCTCAACATGATGCTCGTCTACAACCCCGTCTTTTCGATGCCCCGGTGGAAGGCAAACCTATGGAAGGTCTTCACCCACGAGCTAGGGCACGTTTTAGGGTTAAGGCACGAGTTCGCGGTGGACGTGAACCCCGAGACGGGGACCGTGTTTGAGGCGGCGGCGTCGGTGCAGTTGGGGCCGAGGAACGAAAAGTCGGTTATGAATTACTCGAGGGCCCCGCCAGAAATTCAGGTTAGTGATGTTGAGTCGACAAAGGCGTTTTATGCGTTGAGGGAGGGGGAAGGGGGGGTGCCGGCGATGGTTGGGTTGACGGAGGTGGTGGATTATGTGCCCATGTAGAAAGGGGAAAGGCAGATAGCAGACGGAGAGGTTGAATTCGCGCTAAATGCTTGACCGCTATGAAATCACCAAATGAATATACAACTCCCAGTCACCGCCTCCACTTCCTCGCCTGATTAACCCCCCAACAAGGCGACTCGGGCAGCCCCTGGCCGCCCTCACTCCCGCTCTCAACCCTATTCATCCTCGGCAAATCCAACATATCCAAATCCACCACCCCCGGCCCAGCCCACAACTCCGTCCCCCCTGCTTCCACATCATCCCTCTCCCCCTCCGTCCTACTCACCACCGTCTTCTGCGTAACACTCAACGGATAAAGCTTATCCCCCTCCTCCCTCAACCTCCTCCTCTCAACATCAACCGTCTTCTCACTCTCAACCCCCTCCCCCTTCACCCCACCATCACTCTCCTCCCCCCCCAACTTCCCCTCCTCCTGACGATCCGCCCCCTTCCACCGCCCCCTCACCTTATGATACAGCGCCGGCATAGCAGGCATACAAGCACAAACAATACTCAAATTCGCCTCCAACGCCCCCAACAACGCCGCAATACCCGCATACTCTGTAAAGTTAGTAGCCATCCACTCCTCCATATTGTTGTAAACCAGCCTCGTAATGGAGACGCCACAGATCCTACCCATTGTCAGTACAACCTCCGCTTTTTTTCCCCTCCCTGCTCCCCCGGGAAAACTTACACGATCCCAAAACTAAAAACCCCCCACAACCCCCACTTCCTCCGCCTCCTCATACTCCTCAACCCCAAAATCACCCCCCCCGGCAGCAACAAGATCAGACAATCCAGTATAGCCCCCACCCCCGTCTGCGCTACATAGAAATTGCTCGTCTCAATGCAGACATAGTCCGGATTGGAGACTTTATCCCAGTTTGCGCTAAAGGGTCGGCAGCCGGCGAGGGAGACGATCACAAAGGCGATGCCGTACCCTGTTGTCAGGGCGAGGAGGATGTAATCGCATATGACGAACCAGTGGTAGGCTGAGAATACTGTGAGGAAGTAAGAAAGAAGGGAGATTTTGACGAGGGTTACGGATAGGGAGCCGCAGACGCCTATGGTGATGAATTGCTATCGTCAGAAGGTTAGTGTTTATGTGGAAAAGGGGGGTGGTGGTTGCTGGGGTGATGACAGGTGGGGAATGGAACAGGGGTTATTTACCTTGGTGGAGAACAGGAGTTCTTCTGCTGTTACGGTTGATGAGACCTGGCCGACACCGCCGTGGGTGACGGTGAAATTCTCGGAGACGACTAGGCCGAAGGTGAAGAGCTATGTTGGTGGGTCGTTAGTTGTTGTGGGGGCCAGGGAGAGAGGGTTGGGAACGCACCCAGGAGGCTATGATGGAGTACTCGGACAGTCCCATCTTGGTGCCACGCAATGACTGCGAGTAGAACCTCAATGCCACCGCCGTAAAGGACAGGAATAAGCCAGTGCTGTTCACCGCTAATACCGCAGTCGGAAACACCATGCGGACATTGTAGGGGGCCATCGTAGGGATGAGGCTCTATCTGCGGCAACAGCGGTGACCGTCTAGATGGCAATATCAAGGGATGAACCGATGTTGCTGATTCTGTCCGGACAACTACCACCCAAGTGCATGAAGGCGATGCAATGCACGCCGGTCAGGTTGCCATGAGGATATCAAAATGAAATTTCCGTGACAGCCGGTTCACGGCCGAAATGTTGGGGGAAATCGACGGTTATCTGAGATAGCGCCTCTCCGATAAGCGTCTGGGAGCCTCAGCTCATCGTTAAATTTGAGGCTGCTTGCGGTCAGGCTTCGTGCACTTTTGCGCCGCTAGCTGACCGAGATCGTTGTACCATACCTTATCGTGAAGCTGTGCCGCATCCACGCTGAACCACGGAAGGGCCGGGAGAGGAACGACCAATGCTACCCGCACAGCGTGCTGGGACGGGCCTATCCAGCCGTCTTCGTCCTGCGTAGGACTTTCGAATGCGATTTTGGAACGAATGTGGCTCTGTATGACAGAGATGGTCGGACAAGGACGGTGATAGCTTTGTTGGTCAGACAGTGAATCCTGTGGCCCCGCATATGGAAGTCTGTTAAAGGTAATGTTGGAAGTGTAGTGCGGTACAGATCCTTCGGATCCATGCTGTATGTTTGTTTGCCCGATTTCTGGTCTTTGGTTCTCAAAGGTCGATCTTACTAATGGTGTAAAAAGATGGCTCTAGCCCGTTGTGGCTGGGGGATCTGCGGAATCTCTGACCAATGCAGGGGCATACCCACTGTACCTTTGCATGCGCTACCACCGGGGCTATCATAGCTACGGGATCTTCGGGAGCGGCACGACAACCTACATAGATCCTATGCTGCATATGCAAGCTTATGCCCTCAGTCGGATCCACTTTCGGCCACTTGACGCTCCTCTCGGTAAACAGTTTGGCCAAACGCAACCAGTTGTGCAATATGAGTGGTCTTGGGGTCGTTGGTAAGGCACCCAGTGGGAGCATACGCCGCAACCCTGCTTGCGGTCCTTTTGCCGATATTCTGCATAAACTGTTTTGTGATGGGAGTTTCCGTGATACAGGTTGCCGTGCCAGTTGGATTGTTGACGGCGAGCAATTGCGCGGCTTGATGGTGATGAATATTGTATAAAGCTGTGTGGACGGATACGCCGGAATCCTGTCAAAATCCGTCGTCAGTGGCTGCCAAACTCGATTATTCAGGTCGCCTCGTCTACTCAGATTGATACGCGTAAGATGTCGAACGAAACGGCGCATGACGAAGCGTACATTTTGGGGAGGAGCTTTTCGGCCAATGCCCGGTCTGTGCAAATGTCAAACATGCCTTGGCTGGCCCTGGCCTTCAGGGGTGGGTTAATCAGAGTCTGACTTTTCTGCGTTGTAGGCTCAACCTGCAATATTTCCTTTGGAAAGACGGTGGATTTAGTCTCCATCCTAACATTCCAGCGGACCGCGAAGGGATGCAGGTCGCGGAGATAGGAGTGGGCACCGGGTACGGTTTCATCTAAAGTTTCCCCCTCACCCTATGTGCCCTTCCTGTCAGCCATGCAGGCCAAAGGCATGTCGTTCACACCATATCCTTTTCTGTGCAGGATCTGGCTCGTGGACCTGGCGCGATATCTCCCGGCTTCGGCAAGGATCGACGGCTTCGATATCGACTTGACGCAGTGTCCACCCAAGGAATGGCTACCACCCAACGTGTCAGTTCACAACCTCGACTGCTTGGCACCGCTGCCAGACCGCCTCGTTGGGAGGTATGACATTGTCCACATCCAACTGTTTCATCTAGCTGTCCACAGCAATGATCCCGCTCCGATCATCAAAAACCTTGTCAAGCTGTTGAGTATGGGTCCCACTCTTTCGGTCAGGCGGTTGAGGTCTTGTCGTATCGCCAGGTGCTGATACTTAGTGCTTGTCGTAGAGCCCGGCGGGTGGATCTCCTGGGGGGAGATTGATTACAGCAGGTGGAAGATAGTTCGAACCAAGGAGGGAAAGAACATCACCGACAACCTAACCCCATTGCTCGAGATGATAGGTACATTGGGTGGGACGAAGCCAAACTGGACAACTGATGAGTAAATCATTCTATCCTCAAGTCAGACTCTGGAGAACTACTTACACTTTTTCAGTTGGCCAGTCAGACTCCCTGAATTCTTCGAGCAGAATGGCTTGGTGAACATTACCACCGATAATCGTCCGTTTCCTTTGGAGCTCTTGCCGTTTCAGCTGGACACAGCATTGATGGCTTCGGAGGAAGTGAGCTACAAGGCTTTGGATCACATTGCGGGAGACCTAGGCAGCTGCTGCAGAGAACTGATCACCCGAGTATTTCGGGACAGGCAGAAGTTGGCGTACAATGTCGGGCGGCTCACTGTTATTGGACAAAGGCCAGATAATTGAGTCTGTGCCATAGCAGAGATGTTCAGGGGACTTTGATTCCAACTATGTAGCCAATGATTTACTCCAGCTGAGGTGACCTATTAGCCTCTTCAATCAATGTTTTTGCAGTCCACTCGGGTCGGCTGATGAAGGGCGAATGGCCGGTGTCGACTTTGATGACATTGTCAATCCTATGTTGGCCACTTGCTTTTGCCGAGTCAACGAGGTACTGTGCCGCAACAACGGTGGTCGGCCTGTCGCCAGTGGTAAGGATGTAGGTCGTCGGGACATGGCGCCAAGCGGCGTGAGTAGTAATACTCCAGAAGGCACCAAAGCTTTGCGGGCGCAGTTCCTTTGCCAGCTCGGCAACTGTGTCGTCGTCTAAATCCTGATAGAACATGCCTTTCACATCCTCTGGCTTGACCGTAACGATGCCTGAGTCCAGACTGGTAATCATCTCGGGGATCATGTTGTCTCGCGTTCCTTCAGGCGAGTGTTGGAACCCTTCCGGAACAAGAAAGGCTGTAATGTAGATGAGTCTGATCACACCCCCCTTCAGCCCTCTGGACATGCAAGTATCCTTGTCCAGACCCTCCAACGCTGTGCCGCCAGTCATTCCGCTGAAGCTGTGTGTGACCACAACAACATCCTGCCGCTTTACGAGGTCCGAAACAGTCTGATGGATTATCTCTACATCCTTGGACCAGTCGGGTGTAGGTGGCGTGGAACCCGAAGAAGGTAATGCGGGAGCAACAGCCTTGTAGCCGGCCTGTTCAAGCTCGGCGATGACACGGTGCCAGCAGCTTGGACCGTGCCACGCACCGTGAAGGAGGACGAAAACGGGCTTGGCCATGTTGATGGAATGTGCTCAGAGGATGCGGATTGCAGGAGGGCGGATTACAAGAACGGCGCGGAGGACGAAGCGAGAATGAGACTGGTGTCGAGGAGGGAAATATCCGGCAGCTTGCTGGAGCTGTGTCGGAACGGGTGCAGGTCAGCAGTCAGCACTGACAAAGCCAAGCTCACATCCCACTGTTCATCAGGCTGGCGGGCAGCGGGGGTGGCGCGGCCGTCAAATATGATAGCGACGGGGGCGTGGGACCGGAGCCGATGTCGCAATAAAGTACCGGCTGTTGGACAGGACCCGGGCGTCCTTTTGTACCGATCCTCCCGAACGGGCTTCGCCTAACGAGAATCTGTGTCACATCAGCGCAGATTAGATAGCGGTGAAAAGACCGGAGTTATGATGACATGGCTGCTAAAAAACCGGGTGTAGTGATCATATCAGATATCTATCAGTGAAGCGATGTTGAGATCATATATGGTATCGAAAAGAACTCGCAGAGGTCAGGACCGTGTATAGTGCCTAGTAACATGTCCTGTGGATTTTGAAAGAAACGTAATTATTGCTCAACTATGAAAAGAGTGCGAGTTGATTGTATCAGAGAAGGAGCAAACATGCATACCCCCCACCTTCCCCCTCTTGTTTCTATGGCAGGCAACAGCCCAACCCCCACCACCATCATTCACCGCCCACCTGCAGAGAGCAAAGGCAGAGTGTAGAGACCTGCCATCCACAGATTCCACAATTGGAAAGTCCGCTTATCCGCCTCAATGCTACGCCATGTCAGCGTCCTGCATGCAATCAAGAGGCCCGAGAATGCAGCGACCACATGTACCACAGCACCCGCACCCCAAAACCAGGGGCAGACTATCGACCATCCAACCATGGGAATCGCAATCATCCATCGAGCCGGTCCGTCTCCGAGAGCCAACGGCATCGACTTTCTGCCCCTCGAGCTATCCCCGACCTGATCCGCCATGTCCTGAGTCTGTACCGTTGAGAAGACAATGCCGCCAATCATAGCAAGCCATTTGACAACAGTCTGGTTGTTTTCTCCTGAAAATGATAAGGGCGAGTGCATGGCAACTTCCAAGGCCCCCGAGGCAAAGGAGCAGAAACCCAAGGCGTTGATAACGTTCCGGCTGATCCAGCTCCTGTCAGCCAGATTCAGGTCGTTGTATCCATATCCAAGCACCATCAACGCCAGACACTGGCGTGTTCCTCCCAGCCGCAGGCTCGTGAAGAGAGATACCGGATACAACAGAAGCATGAGTATTCTGGCCTGGGCCTCTGTCATTCTCTGTGAAGGCATTGTCCGCCATGGCTTGTTGTGTCGGTCTTCGAGTATGGCTTCCGCCTGACGTTGATTGTCGATCGCGAAAGGCAACAGGTTGATCCACACCCAAAAGAAGACCATTGGTACGCGGCTCAGCACCTCTGGCCAGTCGTTGGAGCTTGCAATGGCATTAATGATCCCGAAAGCTGACTGGGGGATCACGATCGTTTTCAGGTCACTGCGGGTGAAGAGCCAGATCGATTGGACATGGAAAACGCCACAACCGACCAGCTTCTGCATTCGATGTATGGCCTCGGCCATCTGGTCCATGGTAAGTATCTGGCCCGCAGCAAGACCTCTCATGATGGTAACCACTCTTACCTGGCTGTTCAATAGCTCGGAGTCCATGATCTCTTGTTGTTTCTGTTCACTCGACTTGGTTGGGCCGAATCAGTTCCAGTCTCTCTGGTGAGACAGCGACGGGTATTTGATCATGTCTGTTTCCTCGCTCATCGCCACGCGGCAGCTATGCCACTACCCCAGCCCCGTCGGCACATTCTCTCAGACGGCGTCTCATCTTCCTTCACATCCGTAACTCCGTCCGGGTAGTTACGTCCCGGAATAACAACACCACTGTGCCACGGCCAAGAGCGTTTCTGCCCTTCGGTCACAAACATGTGCTGAAATAGGCGAGCTCGGAGAACGGAGCGGTGGTCCAGTCGGCTGTCTTCACATTCAACGTTCTGCGCCAGTATCAGACAGCCCGCCATGTTCAGGGGAGGCATAGGGCTGAATGCGGACCCCCTGATATCTCACCCCCTTCCGAGCATCCGCTTTATCTATCCTCATCATCTCTTCCCTCTCCCCACTCCTAGGTCATATCGGCCCTGTCTTCCACCATAGCACCCGTCCTGCGAAGGTTAGCCACCATGGGTCTTCTGCTAGACCTTCCCTCCGCTGTGCTATACCCAGCAGCCGCCCTGCTTGGGGTTACCTCACACCTGGCTCTCTTCATACGAGGAGAATGGCACATGCAAGCCCCAACGTTATTCTGGCTCTACTCCTCTCTCACCACCTTCATTTACCTCATTTCCTTCTACAATGACCAACCGAATCCCTTCCAGGCCACCTTCCTTCTCACCACCTCCTACATCCTAGGCCTCTTCAGCAGCATCTCCATCTACCGGCTGTACTTCCACCGCCTCCGCTCCTTCCCCGGTCCCAAACTCGCGGCCATCACAAAATTCTGGCACGTCTGGCAGTGCCGCTACGGGAAAAACCATCTCGTCATTGAAGGCCTCCGGGCCCAACACGGCAGCGTGATCCGCACCGGCCCGGAAGAGCTAACCATCATTGACCCCTCTGTCCCAAACACTATCGACGGCCCAAAGAGTACGTGCACCAAGGCAGTGTGGTATGACTTTTTGCTGCCTGAAATAGCACTCAACACCACGCGGGATGTTCATGAGCATGACCAGAGGAGAAAGGTGTGGGACAAGGGTTTTACTTCTGCTGCTATGAGGGATTATGAGACGCGAGTGTATCACCATGCTGAAGTCCTGGCGGAGAGGATAGAGGGTCTATCCAGACAGGGAAAGCCGATCAATGCCTCTGACTGGTTCTATTTCTTCACGTTTGATGTAATGGGCGAGTTTGCCTTTGGTCAGGGGTTTGAAATGTTGCAATCACAGAAATGGCACTGGGCGGTGAGGTTGTTGAGACGGGCGATGGGGTTGTTGGGACCCTTTAGTGCTGTTCCTTGGCTTGCGCAGGTAGCGTTTTATGTCACGCCTTGGATGTGGATTGTGAGGGATTGGTTGGGGATGATGGAGTGGTGTAAGGAGCGGATGGGGGAGAGGATCGCAAGGCATGGGAAGGTGGGGGCAAGGAGGGATGTGAGTCATTGGTTGATTGAGGAGAGTTTGAGCAGGGGGACGTTGAAAAAGGATAGGGAGTGGTTGAATGGGGATGCGGTTACGGTTGTTATTGCAGGGAGTGATACTATTGCTCCGACGTTGGTGTTTGCTTTTTATGAGTTGGTTAGGAATAGGAAGCTGCAGGAGAGGTTGAGGGGAAAGTTGGACGGGGTGGATATTTATGACAAGGGGGAGCTGGCAAAAGTTGGGTTGTTGACGGGGGTTATTAAGGAGACTATGAGGCTTTGGCCGGCGGTGCCGACTGGGGGTTATCGACAGACTCCAGAGGGAGGGTTGGAGATAGCGGGAAGCTGGGTGCCAGGTGGGGTCACTATTGTGTCACCCAGGTGGTCAATGGGAAGGTCGGAGGAGGCCTATGAAAGAGCTCATGAATGGGTTCCAGAGAGGTGGACCACAAGGCCTGAGATGGTGAGGGATGGTAGGGGGTTCCAGCCTTTCAGTCAGGGGAGGTTCAATTGCGTTGGGAAAGCACTTGCAATGGCAGAAATGCGGTTTGTCATTGCATTGCTGGTGACGAGGTTTGATGTTGGGTACTGGGGGAAAGAAAGGGGAGAGAGGCTGGTTGGTGAGTTGAGAGATCAATTCACTGCTTCGCCGGGGGCATTGGAGTTAGAGTTTAAGCTGAGGGGTCGTGCGTAATACGTTCAGTGATCGTTAAAAAATGTCTTGATGTAAAAATCATGCCTGAGCAGCCCAGTACCTTCTCAGCCTCCATTACTGCTGGGGTCTACCTACATTAGGCAAGCGCGCATCCCATTCGAAGACATCTACCCTGCACCTTGACCACAAACTGGCTGTGGTGAGTTGTCATGCATGTTTTCGAGCAATGGGTCCGCCTTCCGAGCTCGCCCAGACAACTCAAAATATTCGCTCGAGTCAGGCCCTGATTCTTCATGGTTGCAATCTCAACCCATTCAAATGTCAGCAAACAACGAGCTGCGCTTATATAGAGGTGTTTAATGTTAGCAGACGTGATACCTAGCCATGCAAATACTTAGTCGATGTGACTGATTGACGTTGCCTTAGATCTGGATGATGTCTTTGACGAAATTCTAGCCGCCCTCGCGGATACCGACGTGTTTCATCGTGAAACGACGAGCATTTTTATTGTTTATGCTCATGATCACAAGAACGGCGTGCCGGCAAACTCACACTACCTGAGAAGCATTATCAATTGGCTCAAAGTTATACGCTCCCGTACAATCTCGGACGAGGCTCCTCTCTTGGTTCAAGAAACCCGGGAAGGGGATGATGCTGCCGTTCATAACATTCTCTCGAACCAGTATTGCCTATTACCATCTTTGGATTCCCATAGCGCCGTGGTGATCTCCAGCGTCGACGCAGTGGTGGTATTTGGTTCCCAACTTCTCAAAGCATACTACGAAGACCCGTTCACAGCACCCTATGCTGCAACAATCAAGGAAATATTCAACCAATGGAGAACTGAGACAAATGTGACCACAAAGGCTCTACACGGCCGAATCAGAGATTGTGTAGAAGAGCAATACGGGAACCCTGAATGTCATCATGTCTTGACTGAATTGGCCTTCTTGGATATCCGAAAGAATCTTCATGGAACCAGCTGCGACATCATTCCATTCCCGCGTAACAACGCTGCAATGCACGATTACCTGCTTCTTTGGGGGAGCACCGATCCGATTGTGGCACGGGACGTTGAAATAACCAAAACTCAGCAATTACATGGACTGTTCTTTAAACTGCTTCAAAGAATCTAAGCGAATCCAGAGGTTCACAAACTCATCGGACGGTTCAATGACTGATATAAAGCAGCAGTAAAAGAGGCAGAAACTCTGGAAAGACCTGACGAGGAATCCGTGAAAAGGGTGGTCCTTGATACACGTTAATGAGGCCCTCACCTCTAAACTACCATCTGTTTTGGGTCAACGGATCCTCAGAGGAGCATTTCATGACGTCCTATTCCAAGATTGCGCTGCACCTTGGGCAAGGGTCTGACAACATAGGCGATCTCAGGCTTGTCTCAAAGCGAGAGACTGCCTAGACTCTGAGGAATCTGGAGCATGCAGAATATTTGTGGACCAGCTTGATGAGCGGAGACTGGACTTATTCCCACAGCTGCTGCACGATGTCCTTCCAGTAAGAAAGGGGACCATCATATTTACCTCTCGTGATAGGTCGTTGATAAGCTCCAAAACTGCTTCTAAATGGGTTCGTTATTGATGCCAATAGGATGCAAGAGCTCGATGCGCAAGAACTGATTCGAATACTCGCGACTGCTAAGGATATCCCGGAGCTTGTCATAACAGAGGACAGCGAAGAAAGCACAATCGATATCCAGGAAGATACAAGGGAGTCTGGGAGGACCAGGCTTCGGTCAGGTGTCGATATTCCTCTAAAAGGGCTGGACTTCTTGCCCTTGGCGATCTGCCAAGCGGTGGCATACATTGGTGAAAAGTCAAAGACCATAAACCGATATCTGGAGATACTCAGGGCTCACGACGGCTTCACATTCGACAGCATGTCTGATGTGATCTTGCAGACATGGGTCTCGTCCTTCAAAACAATCCGCCGACAAAGTCCAATTGCTTCGAAGATCCTCCATACCATGGCATATCTTGACCACCCAGGCGTTTGATGGCCTATGGTCTGGTATCACGTAAAGAGAGCCCTGGCGTTCGCTCAACCAGGTCCTATACTCTCCACCAATATACTTCACTCATTGCTACCAAATGGCTGGCAAGTGAAGATCCAGCAGCATGTCAGGAAGCATTTGACCTCGCTTTGTTTCTGGTCACAAGCTGCTTCACGCCTTATAGCACCCCCTCCTTCCTCTGCCAGCCGAGCAGCTTCGATACGTGCTCCGGACTTTTACCACATGCATCATCGATACTCTGCGAGAGAGCCTGGCTGACCGGTACCACTCCAAGTCCCATCTCCGAGTTCAAGAGATGGATTCTGGCATTTGAGTCAGCCAAACTTAGCTTTCTTGGCGGCAATCAGAAAGTTGCCGAGGAGCGCATGGCATCGTGTCACCAATACCGTCAAGACAGAGGTGGGCCCGCAGAAAGGACTGTCCAAACGCTCATTGGTCTCGGCATGATCAAGGCATGATCAAACGTGACAAAGGGGAGTACGACGAAGCCTTGGTGCACTACCAGGAGGCGGAATCCGTGATCGATGATAACCCGACAAGCGAATCCTGTTCAGCGCTGAGAAGCACAGTTCTCCTCAACCAAGGCAAGGTCTACAGGGACTGCGGAGACTACGTCAAGGCCGAAAACCTCTACGCACAGGCCCTCGATAGAATCAGCAGCACCGCCGACGGGCTACTACACAGAGAGACCAAGCTATACATATCCAGCTGCCACGCTAATGTGCTCGGCACCCAAGCAGAAAGACTCCCTGAGGCCCTCAAGATGATCGACAAGACCATCTTGGAGTGGGGTCAGTTCAACAGAGGCGCGGAGGATGACCAGCGGGTGTTGAATCTAAAGCATGGCAAGGCCTCCATACTGTCCCGGGTGCCGGGCAGGTTTGACGAAGCTCTGCCATTGTTTGACAGCGTGATTGAAACAACGGCGGAGAGGCTGACCAAAGAACATCGCAAAACCCTCGCCATGAGGTTGGGCCGTGCAGCGGCGCTCAGCGATGAGGGCGGGTTGACGAATCCGAGGCGCGCGGTGGACGAGCTCCGCGAGATCCTTGACAAACAAGTCAACGTGTTGCATCTTCCGGAAACACATGTCAATGTGATTGCCACGGACCATAACCTGGCCGGAAGCAACAAGCATGATAGGGCATCAAGCGAGTCAAACTACGGCGACAACGAGGCCTGATGGGGCCATGACGAGGCCCAATGAGGTTTTGATGCTGATTGATAAGGTGCTGGGGCTTTGGAGGGACCGTTGCGAGCGCTTACAGTCGATGATTCAAAACGATAGTGTTATTAAACCCTTGGATTATCCTGACTACCTCAATGCTCTCAAAACTCGCGTTGACATACTCAGTCACCAAATGAACGGGGAAGGTGCATTAAAGGGATACGATGAGTTGTTAGCAGAGCTAGCAAGATGTACTGGGGAGGAGGCAAGGTAGGGTAACAAGTTTCCGGAGGCCCAGGCATTGATATGCAAAGCGGATATCTACATATATGATGCTGGGGATGCAAACCAAGCAAGAGGCTGTCTGGATGATGAGAGATTGGAAGGGGGTAAGACGACTGAAAGCCACGCCGGAAGCCAGCTTACCAGTGAACAATTTCAATGATTTAGAGAGGTGTCTGCGACGAAAGCCATCTACCGGAACGAATGGTTGGTGGTTACTTTCATGCCTTAGGATCCGGAAGGACAGGTCGGTATAAGGGCCGGTAATGTGGGTGCACAGAGTGCAGACTGAAAGTATCATGAATGGAGCACCATTTATAATTGCCATGGTATCATCCGGTGCCAACAATGTCGATTCCACAACCGTGCTCCATCTGGGTCTCAGCTGACGCCTCAATATTTCCCCTCCGAACAAACCCCCTCCTTCATGGTATCTCATGCCAGAAGTCGTCAGTCATAGGCCACTTGAATTTGTCGCTCGCATCCATGAGTACAGCAGGGCTTTCCGAGGGAGCAGCAACAGACATAAGCGTGGTTAATCCCACATCGGCGCTATGAAAACAAGACAACAATTAGCGCCAGGAAATTGTGCGACCTTTATGGAAGGGCTAGTGTGAAAGATGGATGTTTGAACAAAATGAAGGACAACCTACGTGTCCGCCATGGTGATTGTTTCGAACAGGCCTGGCATTGGTGGTATAAACCTCATACTCCTCGTCGCGGGAGGGCTGGCTACAACAGTCACCCATATCGAATGTCTGTATCTCCGCCTTGGCGTAATAAACTAATCATGGGGAGGCTGAGGGATTGCGAGCGAGAGCCCCAGGGGCGGGTTGATTCTTGAGAACAGTACTCAAGGGCAGATGGGAACCCTGGGAGAGTGGCAGAGTCACCTAGGTACTGTCAGAAAATGGGTGCAGTGAATGTTTTGGGGAGACTGAAATTCCAGCTGCCGAACGTGAACGAGCAGTCTTGATATGAACTCTTCCAGCTGTCTAGCAATGTGATTGGGGTTTTTCATGAAGCGCTTAGACGCCAGACACACGAGGGAATCACACCAACACCCCGAGACAAGCAGAAAGCCTCAGTGACGGGACACACACTGGGGACTCAGACAGGAGAAGGGTCGCACGTACTGCGAATTTTAAGGAACACCTGCAGTCCATTGGTTTCATGCATGCGTTATAATTTCCGGCTGACCGACTTTCCCTATGTTATTTCCCATTGTACCTGCAGCCTGATCATCTGCAAGCAAAACGAGGCTCTGAACCAAAGGCCAAGGACCTAAGCTCGCGTATAACTACTTTGTCTTGTCCTTAGTGACCGAGATATTGACCACTTAGAGAATAGCCTGATCCTCCTCTAATCAAATACGGTCAAGTCAACGCTGGTTCGAAGCAAAGCGGTAGCTGTTTGCTCAACCTCGGTGTGGTGCAAAGATGTCAGCAAACGTCGACACAATCAAGCGAACAAGAAGCACGCCGTGTCGTTTTACGAAGATGAATAAGGAAGGATATGGTGGACTCGATCTGTTCCTTCTTCACAGCATTCTGCTTCTGTCGTCTTCATCCAGGAAAGGAAGTCCACTTACACAACCTATTGACGGCGATCAGGGTTAGGGTCGTCACTCCTCTTGGGCCCCCACTCTACCCCACCAAAACCAATTAAACACCCAACCTGTCAAACGCGTCTTCCCGCCCGTCAACGCGTCTGTCAAAGATAACCTTGATTAATTCTCCTATCCACCGTGACATCATCCCTTTTCCTTTCCACAGGCCGCCAGTAACCCATCTATTCATCTTGTTTTTTCGTTTTGTTTCCGCGTCATCCCTACAAACAAAACGCCACACCTTCAGACCCGAGAAACCACAGACCACAGCAATGTCAACCCAACAAACCCATCCCACAGTCCCCCTCTACCACCCACCAGCGCCCTCGCCCTTCTCCCTCCCCGACCCAGACTCGGTAGCAGGGTACAAACTCATCGAACTCCCACCCGACCTCGTAGCGCTACTAGAGGGGGAGAACCCACCTGTGTAAGCCTCCCTCCCCCTCTCCTCACCCGCCTCATTCCCCCATGCTAACCTCCCCCCTCTCTGTCCAGACTAACAATCTCTCCCTCCCCAACCTCGGCCCTCCTCTCCGTCCCCTCCACCTCAAAATCCTACTCCCTCCGCCAAAAAAACACCTCCAACGCCCTCATCATCCTCGAACCAACAGACACCAGCGGTCTAAAAGCCATAGCCACCCTCCACGAAACCGTCGAGCTCGTCCCCCTACCCACCACCGCTGCCGCCCCCGAGGTCAAAAAGAGGGGAAAGTGGCACGAAAAGTTTGCGAGTGGGAGGAAATAGATAGATAGATGGGTGTCACATGTCGCAACAAAGAAAAAAAAGCATTTAAAAAAACATCAATGATTTGTTGTTCTGTCGAGAGTCTTATGCTATGTTATCTCATGTTGCTATTTGCTGTGAGGGTTGTGAGGTGTCTAGCAGTAGGAAAGCCCAAGACAAGGTGCTGTCTGTTGTTGGGCAAACCCAGACATGACAGAGAAGCAATATAACTCGGTCCTCCCTGCTCTCCCCATCCGCCGATACCACCACCCCACCCACACACACAAAGCAACCCTCAAGCCAAATCCCAAATCCGACAAAAACTCCCAGGCCAGATTACCTCCCTAAAGAAGCCAACCGCTGGAAGAAAAACAAAATAAATACAAAGAACCAACCAGCCCAACCGATCTCCAAATCCCCAACCCACCCAAATAGAGTCCTGTTGCCCATATCATACTCGAATCAAGATAGCCCCGCCCCCACCCCTCCGCTTCTCTTGCTTGTCGAGCAAAGGACTTGGAATAAAAAACCAATAAATTCCAACGCATTAAATACCCCCTTTTCCTTAGCATAATCACAATATCCATGCAATGCTCTCTCCCTTCCTCGTGTAGGTACTTCTTCTCTTCCTCGAAAGAAAAATCCCATATCGACCCAACCGGCAAAAAATATGCAAGGATCAAGAAAAACAAAAAACACAGCGCTGAACCCGTCCCAAACCCCCAAGACTCCCCAAATCCGACAAAACCCAGCCCAAACACACGCCAAATGGATGACCAAGGCTGTCGAATGATAAACAGAAATGGTGGATGAGCCAAGCCAGGTGCAAAACGCCACTGAGAGGTGAATCTGAAGGGAAGGCGAGGCGAAGAAAGTTGATCCGTAGCCTGACAAAAGAAAAAGAAGGCTCAGGCTCCAAGTAGCCCCAAGGAGGCGTCGTGGTACCATCTCAAGAACACGACTGTCCCTGGTCTTCAGCGGACAGGTGGAGGCCCATGACCCCATCGAGGACTGTACAATTCTGCTCGGTAACCATTCCCATTCACCCGCGGGGCTGGTGGGGACGCGGTCAGGTTGATTACGTCGTTCGCCAGAGGTCTTGGCCCATCCCCATGCTGCTGAGCTGGTCCACCATCATTAACATTATTGTTGTTCGCCGCGTGGGCGACTCTGTGCGGGGGCAGGTTTGGAGCTGCAACAGCCTGGGGTCGATTTGGAACCGCAACAGCCTGTTGAGGGTTGCCAACCGCGGCAGCTGGGTGATGGGCGTTTGGTTCATGATACGCATGATTCCCAATATTGAACAGCCGTCCAGCCGCTCCAGCCGGCGCAAATAAATGCTCGGGGTTCATCAGGACAGGCCCAGGAGCAGGTCTCGGAACGGCGGGAAAAGCAACCCCTTGTGGAAAGCGGTGCATGTGATCCGCTATATGCTGTTGTAGTTGGAGTTCTTGCCGTTGCATATTTTGCATCGCTTCTTGCTGGACGTTGCGTGCATGGTTGAGCTGGGCAGCCGCCTGCTCGCGCTGTATCCGGAAGTTGTTCCTGGCCTGCTCCATCTGTATTTGCTGCGCTTGTATTTGTGCGCGCAGTAGCGCCTGCTGTTGCTGCATCCGGGCTTCCCGGTTGGGATCCGGCGGGAGTATTACTGCCATCTGCACATTTCGATGAGCCTCAACAGGCAGAGGCTCTATCCCAATCTCCAGGTCCAACCCAATCAGTCCCTGCATCCGTCTTTGCAACTCGTTCGCCTGGTCGGGGCGGAGAGCCATTGGTGCGGCAGGAACTGGTGCATTGGGCTGGTTCGGCGGGACGGCAATTGCTGGCATTCGTGGGGGAACATATACGGGTAGGTTCCGGGGCCCAAAGACGCCGCCCCTTTGAGGGATCTGGGCAGCTGCGCGTCTGGCCTCGTCTTGCTTGACTTTGTCGGAGAATTTGATCTCGAGGAGGGAGGAATCGACTTCAGGGTTCGCCTCCGCCACCTTCTTGCGAGCTGCTTCTTCGGCCTCGCGAACTTCTCGTGCGTGGCGTTCCTCGGTTTCGTCAAAAAGACGGCAGTTCCCGGGCTTCCCACCGCGGGCGGGCTCGTCGAAATGGCTGTAATCACACGACTTGGAACAGACGTAACATTGTATGTTGCCACAGCCCTTCCTCGTGCATGTCATCTTGTTGCAGCCGTTCTCCTTGATGAAGGGTGTTTTGCCTAGTCAGAGTTAGCTCCATGTCCCCAAGTGGAGGCAGATGGTCCTTACATTTGTTGCAGGTCCGGATCATGGCGGCAGACATTGCTTCCTCGATCTCACGGCGAGCAGAATGTCCACTTTCCCGCGCAACTTCTTGACAAGTCTTGGGCGTGTGCGTCTCCAGCCGACAAAGCCTGCAGGATACAAGGCCGCACTCCTCGCTGATGCATCTGAACTCTTTATCCACCTCGACGGGCGGGTACTCGGCCGCATATGGGCAGAAGGGGCATGTCTCGAGTGACTCTATTCCAGCCAGGCGAAGGACAGCCTCTTGCTCGATGCGATCAAGAGCCACAGTCAGCTTTCCGTCGAGAAACAAATCCTTCTGGCTCTTGCTGAAGGTGCCCTCGCAGCCGTCTGTTGACATGCAGTCTAGCTGATACTTGGAGATGCCAACCTGCGTCTCCGCCATGCGCTTCGCACATTCGCGGCAGAAGAAATGGATGGTCCCCGCGTTGCAGTGCACCATTCGATTCTGTGGGAAATCCCCAAAGCAACATCCACACTCCAAAATAGTACCGTCAGCTTCTGCTTGCGCATAATTGGCCGCCTCGGCGTCTTCTTCCGCCTTCTTCGCCCTTGCCTTGGCAGCTCTGATGTCGCAAACTTGACGGGCAGTCACGAAGTCTTCCACAGCCCCTTTCTCTCCCTCGTCGGCGCTCTCAGAGAACATCTTGACCGTGTCGCCGAGCGTCATTTTGGACCTGGTTGTCGACTTTTTCCGCCAAGCCGAGGTTTCTTGAGCAAGCTCGGCCCATAGAGCAAGATATGCTGGGTAAATGCGATGGTCGTGCAGTTTGAACTGTTGCTCTATATTCTTGACCTTGAAGTCGGGAAACTCGGCCACAAGAAGAGATCTGCTATGCGGGTGTCAGAAATCTACATACTTGGTGATGAAAGGGGACAATGTTGGGTGGAAGAACAGAAAGCCCAACGTCATCTTGATGCTCCAAGCCGCAACAAGGAGCGCCACAAAGATGAATGAACGGGCCTTTGGTGATAGCACCGACGCCTCCGCCTCAAAAGACAGGCAATCGCCCGTTCATCATCCTTCAGTCCTCCTCCCGTGTTACCAGCAGTCTGTCTCCCCTGTCCACAACGTGTTGGGGATACATCACTCACCCTGCTCCCTTGTACTTTTTCATGTACTCCGTCGTCTTGCCTTGAAATCTTGGCTCGGCCTCCATTTTCTTGCTGAGCACTTCTTCGCCGTCCTCACCGGTATCCTCCCACTTGCGCTTTAGGGACTTGACACGCTTGGGATATTTCTTGCCGCTTTCTTGCTGATCAAGAATGTGGCCGACGATGCCCTGGGCTGTCCACTTTTGACTTTCGACGGTCTTGCGCAGATAGTCGGGACATATGTCGGGGAAGAAATTGAGTGCGGCTTCCATGCACGCTTCTGTGCTCAACTCTGGATCCACGTTGCCCTGGGACCTACGCACTGGGGGCATTTCCCGGACGGCGTTGTTGTCGTTTTCTGGCCTGTTGATGTTGTCAGAGGGTTGGGTTTGCTCGTTGTTTTGCTCATTCAGGTTTCGACGGTGGGAGTGGCTTCGCAGAGACTTCCGCAAACGATGAAGCCGGTCCCTTTTCAGCGGTGGCTCCCGTGCATCGGGACTTGATTCCTGTTTGGAGTGGGCGCTGCCCATGGTACGGTGAAAACACCCCGATGCTGCCGGCGAGGGCTGAGTGTGTGGAGATGGGTGAAGGTGAAAGACATGCCCTTGTCGGAATGCATGTGCAGGCAAACAGTCGAGGCAGCCCAGCAGCAGGTTCAAGATTGTGCTCGAAAGAACGAACTCAAAAGTCCACAGTGGCTTGAGTTCCGGACGGACGTTTGCTGCTCCCCCCACTACGAGAGCAGTTTGTCGTTTGCCGTGGGACTACCACATGTGATTCTGCCGCTCTCACTCACTGGAAAGGAAAAAAAGGAGTGACTTACGGATTGTTACGGCCAAAATGACGTCCAAACAACAGCTCGAGGTCGAGGTTTGCAAACTCGTCGTCCTCTAAAGCGGCGAATGGGAAGTGGTCGGGTAGATGCTGGGCTGGTGGTAGAGCTGGCTGCTGTCCGAGAAGCTGGTCGAGGTATGCGTCGTGGTCCATGTTGAGAATTAGGTTGGGTGGGAGATGCGGTCCTGGTCCAGGTCATGCTCTTGCAGCGCCGGCGGTGGTGTAAGTTACAGGACAGGTACGTAAGGTATAAAGTAAAACCAGGGAAAGTGCCCCGCAGTCCCAGGTTTGAGCAGTGCAGTCAGTTAGAGCTTGGTATATTACGGGGACAGTGGGTGGAGGGGGGTGTGAATGGCGGCGACTCGTATACCGCGGAGTAGTGGCAGGCACGAGCTTCAGATGAGGCTGGCTGGCTGACTGACTGACTGAGCACTGAGCGACTGACCGCGCGCGACGAAACCGGAACACCTTCCAATTAAGCAAAAAAAGTCCAAATGGCCCAAACCACCCCGACCGGCTTCCAGAGCAGGTGGGCGCAAAATTCAAATCCTTGCTCAGGGTCCTCCGGGAAAGAGCGGCGACGTGGCCGACATGGCAAAAACCTGGAGGTGATTGAGCAAGGAAGAGTCAGGGTTCAATTATTCCAAGTGTGGGAGGAGAAGTTGAGTCGGGTCTCTTGAGCCAGGTGGTGTTGCTCCAGCCTCGACCGAGCAGGCAATGAGCTGCCCTGTTGCACGGGCCATACCCCGGCCGACAGACAGCTTCACATTCCAGGGGGGTAAATTACAGGGCCATTACCTGTTCCCCACAACAAACACGCGATGTCTGCTCGTAATCCCACGTATTTTTTGCAGAGTGACAATGCCTCCCATTCGCTCATGCCGGAGCGGCTTGTCGGTGGGCATCGTGTGGCACCTGATGTCAAACAGAACCAGGAAAGCAAACCACCATCTCTTGCACATGCTCGGAAATTCGTGATATTCGACTTATCAACCGGACACCGAGACTCCGCCTGCAACCTGATAGCGCCTTAGCACTCGAAACTCCCCGAACCCGGCGCTCTGGACCGACCCACCAAGAACCCCGGCAGTTACAGGGGTCCCCACGGAGCGATCATTCCGATAGAAGGATATTGTCTTTCACCCTTGTAGTCCAGTGCTGGCTAGACATTCAACTCGAACATTGCTTCGCTCTCGGTATTCTCCCATCTCAACTTTTAGCCTCATCATCCAGCGTGGCACCGACATTCCCTTGACATCGGGCGTGAGCACTCTGCCGTCAGCCGCGGACATTCCATCGGTTGTCCCCACAGAAAACCACATGGACAAGCTCCAGAGGGTGAGGAAACGTCACACAGGACCTATGCAAAAGCCGGAAGCCTTTAATGTCCAGGTGCGTGTTCTGCCTACCCTCAACTCTGACTCCACGTTTCTTTCCACACAAAAGGAACAGGCACCACAAACCTGTCCTTATTTTCAGGCTTACAGAAGTGTCATGTCTCGGGAGCAAAAAAAACACAACCAGCATCGATCGATCACTCTCCCGTCCTCGGCGTTATCTCTCGTTTACCGCATCTGATATGTCACATTCTGTAATATTTCCAACCTTTCAATACTTCGACCGGCACACCACCCCAAGACCCCTCTCAGCTCACCCATCGCCCACCACACCTTTCCCCATCCAGTACTCCTCCATCTTGCATTAGCCCTGCATGAACCACCAAAATGTGAACGTGATGGCAGGTTTTTATGCATCGATTCGGCGCTGACAAGGAACAATTCGAGCCAGTCAATGACATATATTTTACTTTCCCCGCAGTACCCCGGTTTCTGCGGGTTGGACAATTGCATTATCGAATTATCTACCTAGCCGGACATGTATCTCACTGCAACTAATCCTCCCCAGAATCAAAAACCTCGTATCCCTCCTCGATTTCCTCCTCCTCGGAGCTCGTTGACGCAACGTTTCGCCTCCTCCTTCCTCGCTTTCCACCAGCCGCCGCGGCTTTGGGCTTGACCGGCGCCTTCCGCCTTGCGCTCCTCCTCGGTGGCACCTTGGTTTCTTCGATTTCTGGCGTGGGCGATGGCGACAGTGACGCTGGCTTCGGACTCACCGCCTCGCTCAACACACCGCTCACATCACCATGATCAATCTCGAGCACATCCTCCCCGTCATCGTCGTCGTCATCGGAGTGGACGGTAGGGAAGTACCCCGAAGTTGTGCGCCCATGTTGCTCGTCCTCCTCCTGGCCCTCGGCAAAAAAGCCCCCGCCGGCCAAGTCGTCCGCCTCATGTCCCTCCGGCAGGAACCCCCCCGCCATCTGATCCTCCTCCGCCTCAAACCCTCCCGGCCCTTCTCCAGCCATATGCACGTCACCACCGATTTGTCCCGCACCCCCTTCCTGCTCCCCCTCCTTGACATCCCCATACTGCCCCTCCAACCGTTCCACAATCCTCAACCCCATCAACATCCTCCTCCACATCCCCAGCGCCCTCTTCCTCCTCTTCTCATCCTCCTTCCTCCTCCTCTCCGCCTCATCCCTCTCCAGCTCCTCCACCATTTTCTCATAAAACTCCTCCGCCACAACAACCCCCTGAATAACCGGCACAGCCATCCGATGCCCAAACTCAAAATCCACCACCGCCTCCGCATAATCTATCCCCAATCTCCTTGCAACCCTCCCCGCCCCCCGGAAAGGAACATGAACCGCACCCTCGGGGCACATGGTCGGGACAAACAAATCAATATTCCCATACTCATTCTTTGGTATCTTTCCATCTTGAATCGGCGGCGGTATGATCCAGTCTGTCTGCGCGTGACTATACAACCCCTGCAAAACCTTTGCTCCCGTAGCCAACTCCGCCTCTGCAATCTCCCTTCTCCGATTTGTAGTCGCTGCTCGATAGGGCACCTTTTTCAGGGGGGCCTCCCCTTGTTTAGGGGCACGTCCCTGTTTATGCCATGTTTCTGCGCTCTTGACTTGGACGACGTCTCTACGGCTGTAGACCGCCTCGCCTTGTGCACCCGGTTTCTTGTTCTTGTTTTGAACAAACATCTTGACCGGTTTCGCGGTCGGCAGGAGCGCTTCTTCTCTCTTGAGGTGGCGTTCCAACACAAACTCTTTGGATTGCTTGTAGTACTGCAGTGTCTCCTCTCCTTCTTTGACCACCTTGTCCACCCGCTCGGCGGGTTTGAGATCGGTCTCGTTTTCGAGGGTGTCTGCTTCTGTCAATGGGTGGGAGGGGTCACGGCCGCGAATGTAGGAGCTCATCACCCTCTTGAACCAATCATACTCCTCGTATCGTTTCACTTTTCCGTTCTTGTCGTACACGGGAATTTTTTCGGGGGGTAGCCGGCTGCCCTTGGTTCGTCCTGGGAGTTGTTGCCCTTTGAGATAGCGGATGGTGACGTCTTTGGCTGTGCCGTCGGGGGAGTGGGCGATGATGTATGCCATTACCTGGCGGGCGCGGTCGGCTTTGGAGCCGCGGGGTTCAAAGTGAGACAGAAGGTCGGGGTTGGTGGCTAGGAGGGGTTTGAGGGGGTCGAGGGGGAGGTATTTGTGGGTGGCGGGGGAGAGGGCTTCGAGCCAGTAGTGGGGGTATTCCAAGTCTTGATCGTACACTTTTTTGGGGGTCTTGGTTGGGGAGGTTGGAGGTGGGGAAGGGGAAGGGGGGATTATCAGGTCGTTGGAGGAGTCGGAGAGGGATTCGAGATCGGAGGAGGGTTCGGGGGGTGGTTTTTGGGAATGCCGGGTTGATCGGGCTGTTTTGGGGGGTGGTTTGGCAGGTGTTTTCTTTGCTCTGGGTGGTGGTGGTTTGGTGGCTGGCACGGGAGGTTTTTCAGGATTGCTTTCCGAGAGGTAATGCTCTTCCTCTTCAGGGTCGGCTTCCTCGAGTTTGTTCCACCCAAATCCCAAGGGTTGTAGACTGGCCACCAATCTAGCCTCGATTCCCAGTCCTCGTAGTAGAGCGGTAAATAACTGGGCACCAACATCGCGGCTGCCTGCACACGACTGTGCGCGCTTTCTGAAGCCTTCTAAACCATCAATCTTCTCCCCGAAGCGGTCTTGATCGTCACCGTTCGTTTGCTTGAATGCCTTGGTGATTCTGTCGAGTCGTTCTAGGGACATGTACCCCTGCTTGCGCAGCCCTGGTGCCGTGATCTTGAACCGTTGTTTCCACCATGATGTGAGGACCTTCATCAGTCTGAATAATGGATCTCCATGCGACATATCGACAGCTCCTTTTTCAAGATGCTTAGCTGCCGCTCCCCATTCCCTCCCCTTCTCTGTCGCTTTCCCCTCGCCTTTCCCCTTCCCAGCTGTCTTCCCCTTTGGTGGTGGCTCCTCCACCTGTACCTCCAACCCACTGCTCCTCCTCCACCTATCCACCTCCTCCCACAGCCTAGGCGGTAAATGCGATATCATGATCGCCATCACCTCCTCGTCACTACACCACGCATTCCTCAGCGCATTGTGCCATAGTAACAACTGGACATGGACACCATGTGCAGCTATCCTGATCTTTCTTTCAAGCTTCGAGGGCCCCTTCTTCCCCATCGCGGCAGCGAGATTGATTCTGGTATCCCGTACCAACGTCAGATCGAGGTCCTGACTGGGGATAGCAACATCGGGAGCTTGCGCAGTAGGCGTGGGGACATCTTCGAATTCGATGTCTTCATCTTCTGTAGAGGAGGGTTGGGAGAGTTTTCGACGTTTTGTGCCAGGACCATCCAGCGGGACGTCCTCGAAATCGGCGTCGGAGAGGGACGTCAAGGAGCTGGTGTCGTCATCGCTAGCTTCGATTTCGAGGAGGGAGGTCTTGGTTGAGGAACGGGGGGTGGAGCCGGCGTCGAGGTCGTCGAAGAGGGTTGGTTTACGGGGGGGGGCGATGGCTTTCTTCTTTGAAGTTGTTGAAGACTGCCGCTTTTTGGGTGGTGGTTCAGGGGAGGGAGAGCGGAGTCGTTTGAGGGGGATGTGTGGCGGCATTTCTTGTGGTTGACAGTACCGAATTGGCGACCATGTTGGAGTTGTTCAAGCACTAGAAGGTGGATGTTAATATTTGAAGTTGAAAGAGGGTTGTCGATCGGGGCCAGCCTTGTCAATCAGTCACAATCGCATTCAGAGAACGATGACGCGCATTCCAATGTGGGAAGACGCGACTGACCCTAACCCTTAGCAGCTGAGAGCAAGGCTCGGCAGGGCGCCGAGCTAAAATGATCGGCAGCCGGCCCCGGTCCATAATCTCCACCTTTCCCCCCGGCGGGTTTCCAGATCGTTCCAGGCTGCCGGGCAGGCAAACACCGCCTTACGCCGCCTCGCCCGCCTCATCTCTCAGCCTTCCATCTTTCTATCAACCGTCTGTCTCTTGGTCAGCGACCCCTATCGTCGTGTCGGAGTACCGACCCTTATAATTATCAACCGCGTTTTCCATATAAACCCCCCTATCTACCCTCGACCGCAACACCCCAAGCTTCACCCACCATGTCCTCCCCAAACAACCCAAACGAAACAACCTACATCTCCATGTCCCCCGCCGCCCTCGCAGCCCGCGGCACCGACGTCTCCCTCGTCGGCGCCCACTGCCAATACCCCCCCTGCAACCAACTCGACTTCCTCCCCTTCAAATGCCAATCCTGCTCCCAAACCTACTGCTCCGACCACCGCACCGAAGACGGCCACGACTGCTCCCAAAAAGGCGCCTGGGCTACCAGGCGACGCCTAGCCGAACAATCCAAAGCCTCCCTCGGCGGCCACAAACCCGTTCGCGACCGCGATGTCCTATACGCGAAACCCTGCGCAGAAGGGACATGCAAAACAACCATCGGGACAAGTCTCGTTCCCGGTGTTCACTGCAACGCCTGCCGAAGGGACTACTGCCTTAAACACCGCCTAGAAGAAGACCACGACTGCAAGTCCAAACCCCCCGTCGGTGCGAGAGCGAGTGCCCTAGCAGCTCAACAAGCGGCGATAACAACCAAGGCGACGTCTGCGTTGGAACGATTGAAGTTGTGGGGCGCTTCCAAAAAAGAACAATACAAAGACTCCCGCGCCGCAAAGGCGGCCGGACCATCTGGGCTCAACGCAAAGGGACAGACGAAACTCGTGGCGGTAAACACCCTCAAGAAGACCGCAAAGGGGGACGCAAAGATCCCCCCAGAGAAGAGGGTCTATCTCTATGTCGAAGCGGAGAACGAGACTGCCAAGGCCAAGATTCCAAAGGGGGAGTTCTTCTTCAGTCAGGACTGGGTCGTGGGGCGGATGCTCGACTCGGCGGCGGCGAGTCTGCAGGTGCAGAATATTAATAACAGGTCGGATAAGGAGGAGGATAAGCTGAGGGTGTTCCATGTGGAAGGGGGGAGGATACTGGATTTTGGGGAGAAGTTGGGGACCGCGTTGGTCAGTGGGAATACGGTTGTTTTGTTGAGAGGGGTGGGGGCGCCCGAGGATTTGATAAAGGTCTGAGGGTCTACCATTGTTGGAATTCGGTTCTTTTTGTTATAAAGCGCATGGCATAGCGTTGTTTTCTGAGACATGTTTGAAGTTGTTCCATAGCATGGGGCCCAGTTGATATACCACTGTTTGTTGTCATTTCTCTTTATGTTAAAAGGCTTCCTGGGCGTCTCATTTCGTTGCCAAGTAGTGGGTGGTGAGAAACGCTATCAAAAAATAACCACCCATATCGGTAAATTCCAACCCAGTCCAATCTTCCCACCATCATCCTCTCGTATCCCCACCGAGTGGAGATTCCAATATGTACAAACACAAAAAAGAGTAGACAGGTATCACACCAAATATCACCACACTTCCCTTTTCTTTTCCTTCATTACTCCCTCTTCTCCTTCCCACTCGGCAACGGCTTCTCACTCAACTGCCTCTCCCTCCCAATCAACGGCGCATCCCCCACCATCTTCTCCCCCCCATAAGCCTCAAACCCCTTGTGGAACACCCACTCAACCGCATTCTCAACCGGCTTATCAAAGATCCTCGGCAAGAACGGCACCACCGCCAAACCCAACCCAATCGGACCCCACGTCCTGACAGTCTTATTCTTGACATCCTTCATCGCCCGGCCAGAATACCTCACCACGGAGTGGATCGTAAACGCCGGCAACCCCATACTCGCCAAGCTCTGGAAGATACCCCGTTGCAGCATGACAGTTCTGTAGTCCTCCAACGGCGGGACAACACCTGGCGTGAGCTTCGCTGGCGAGGTGGCATCATGCGTCGCCTCGACACCAAGTAATTTCTTTTGGTGAGAGGACAGCTCGATGGCGGGGTTGAGGATGCGTTGGTTGTGCCAGTAGGCTTTGTAGCCCTCGTAGGAGACGTCCCCGAGGATATATGCCCAGGAAATGCCGTATGCTGCGCGGACCCAGTTGGGGTGGGCGACGGGGCGGAAGGACTCGCCTATGTCGGAGGTGTAGGCTACGTAGCGGTGGGCGGAGAGGAGGATGGTGCGGAAGCGGGAGGCGTAGGCTGCGTAGCGGACGTTGGAGTCGGTTGATGGGGGGACACTGAGGGTAGAGGAGTTAGTTAAGCGGTTGGGTAGGGGAAGAGACTAAAGGGGGGACGTACTATCCCTCGTAGAGCTCGTCAAAGAAGTTTTCATCTTTGTCGGCCTTGTCGACGATTTTTTGGAGCTCAGCGGGGAGTCTCTTCGGCTCGGGGAGCTTAGTGCTGGGGTCAAGGTCTTTGGTTGTGTTGGCGACTTTCTTTACGGTTTCAGCGGTAGCATTGTGGACGGTTTGTTGGTCAGGTTTGGAGGGGGTGGATGAGGAGCTGAAGGGCCACACCATTGCGGTGTTTTGTTTTGTCTGGTTGTTGGAGGTGATGATGGTTAAGGAAGAATTTCTTAGAGAAAGGGAGCAAGCTAGAACTTGCGACAAGTGGGATGGAGGGGTTGCACCGGTTTTAACCTTGCGCAAGATATGGATCACAAGCAAGGGAGAGAAAAAAACAAGTAGCTGCAAGTAGCTGAATCAAGCAGAGTGGATGCGACTGTGAATATCACCGAGATTGCACAGCTGAACTAGCGTGGAGTTGGGTTGTTCAGAATGGAGCTTCCGGTCTTTCTCGTCATCGGCACGACAGCTTCAAGCATGCGCCTGCGCGCAGATTTTGGTGACGTATGTCTCGGTTCACCGGGATTGGAAGGTAGCTGATAAAGCTTATCCTCCTGGCCTAAGTAGCAGTCCGTGCACGGTTATTAGCCGCTAGTCGGAGAGTTAGTAAGATCCTGGCAAAATCTCGGCTGTTTAGCTCAACGACGGAGCTTGGCCAATTCGACATTTCCCTGTGTTGCCGTCGCCAATTCATTTGACCTTTGCGTCGTTTTCAGCCTACACACACCCACTACATCACCAACCACACCCCCCGACGAGTTTCCCTCTCGACAAACAACCTCTATTCAAAATGGGCGGCCAGATGTACAATCTTTTCGGCAAGCAGGTTGCTTCGCAATACGTCAGTGCTCTCTTTTCTCCTTCGACATGACCCGATCTCCTCCCCTCCATCCCTTCCGCCGCCGGCGCGACGACGACGACGATGACGACATTTACGAAGGCCAATTGCTAACATATCTACAACCAAACAGCTCGCCATGGGCGTCCTCGCCTCTCTTTTCGGCGGTGTCGCCGTCGCCACCTCCGGCGGCAGCGCTGCTAAGCCCACCACCCCCGGTGCTACCCCTCCAATCAATGCCTCCAGCTCCGACGAGGCCGACTTCATCAAGTAAACATATGCCCTTCTGTTTGTCGTCGAGACCAAGCTCTAACCATCGCTCTTTGTCGCAAATAGGAAGTTCCTCGAGCAGGAGGGCTCCGCCGAGAAGAAGCACTAAGAGGATGGAATCCTGCGTGGAGGGATTGCTGGATAGACGATGAGTACTCGAGGAAACATACGCCATGGGTTACCGGCATGGTGGTTGGTGGATGTTGAACAGAAAGCAAGCAACGCACGTGTTTGGCTTGGTGCTGTTCATTCTCGCGCAAGACTTGAACTTGTTGTTTGTTGCGAGAAGTGTACATATATATCATCATCAGCAATGGGGAGGTGACGATTGGAATGAGATCGGACACAGCAAGATGTTTGCCTCTTGAGCAACGTGGATGTTTTTGGTGCTTGTATCTGTGCTTTCACGAATGGGCAGTATGGGATGTTTGGAGGGAGCTATCGACACTCAAAGTTACAAGTTGGTAAGATTTTGAACTCAGTACTTCTGATGACACACTCTATTAGGTACAATTCCCGGGCTATCTACCGCCATCCGACACCTTATAGCCCCGGGAGTTTCTCAAGATGCGAAATAACCCATCCTGCTGCGAAACAACGTAATAATTACGAAATGAAGCACTGAACACTAAACAGACTGCCAACCGCATAAGGTTCGACTTTGGGTAACCCAAAGGTTACCTTGCCCTCCCCCATGCCTTCTTTTCCCCAGCCTCATCATCAGGCGGTCACATAGTCGGTCTGCCTGCGCCCCCGTACAAGACCTCACAACCTCGTCTCAAGGTAAAGGCCAAGCAGTATCCGTCGCGATCTTGTTGATTTCATCGAGCATGCTCGCAAATTTGTTGGCAGTCTCTAGTGGGACTGTCTTGACGACACGCTCTTGCTGTTCCTCCTCCTCGTTATACTGAGGCGGGGTTTCACACCGGCAGCCCTCTTGGACCCTCCTCTCCTTTCCTTGCCGCGGAGAACGCTTCCTTTCACCATCAACGGAACCCTCGATGCACACCATCGGCTACAGCCACTTGGTCAAGTCCTTGTTCTGCCCCGCATCCTCCAGCACGCAGTTGATGACAACAGGGTTGGACTCGTCACGGGTGTACAAGAAGACGGTGTTGCCGTATCCGTTCTTGGCATGGCAAAGGCGTGCTGGATCTTGCGGTGGTGGGGGGTGGTGTCGTCGAGGCAGAACTTTGCGCAGGTTTCCAGCTTGGCGGACTGGAAGGCGATCTGCATTATCCAGCGGGAGTGGGATGGGGGCTCGTCCGCAAACTCGCGAAGGTGCCAGAAGCGGCGCTGGCAGCTGTTCTTCTCGTCGTAGTAGTAGATGGTGTCGGAGGTGATGATGTTCTTTCTGGACCAGTGGAAGCCCTCCCGGATCAGGTCCGAGACGGGGGTGCCGTTGAGGCAGCGGATGGCGAAGTAGAGGCGCCACTCGGGCTTCTCCTCGGGCTTGGTGAAGGCGTTGGGCGTCATGGTGAAGTAGATGCCGTCGGTCAGCTGGAGGTTGCCCAGCGTCATGCGGGCCATTTCGGGAAGGACAGTCATGATGGTTGTCTTTGTGGGTGTTAGAGCATGGTTATTTGCTCGTTCATGATAGAATTTCTCATCGTTCATGAACGGTTACTTACTCGTTTGTGTACGATTATTTCATCGCTTGTGTGCGGTTGTGTGACCGTTCAAGTATGCTCTTGATCGTTCGCGCAGCAGGGTTGATGTGGTGTTGACTGATACTAGCAGGTGAACTGGATTGGACCTAGATGCTGATGGGTAACGAAAGGGAGAAGAGAGATGGACAAGAGGAGAGTGGGACGAGGTTTAACACTCTCTGATTCTGAGTGTTTGAAAGCTTGTGACTTTAACTTCAACACGGAAGCTCGCCTCCCATACTGGGTAGGTCCACTTCACATTTCAAAATAATGTTTGAAACTCAAAAAGACTAGCCACCTCACACCCACATAATGCATATAATGCACACTCAAGCAGCCCTCGCAGCCCTCGCCATCTCCGCCAACGCAATCCTCACCTCCACTTCCCTCCTCAACTCGCCCAGCAAAAGATCAAAGTACTCGAGCTTATTCATTGCCACAAAGTCAGTGTGTCTCTCAAACTTACACAATCTCCGTCCAAAAACTAAGATACTCACCGCTCCTCCGATAACAATCTCGGCTTCTTCATCCCCTCTCAATTGCTCCATAAGCCCCAGGAGTCTCTCTTGGGTTCTCCCCACGCTGTCCATTCTTTCCTCGAGAGTCTGGGTGGTGGCGTACTGTAGGTCAGCATTGGAAATGAATTACAGTCAAAAAGGGGACGGTCACACGGACCATGTCAAGAGAGATCTCACGTGAACCAAAAGGACATGCTCCAGATCGAATAAACTGGTGAAGCTGCCTGCACAGGTCAAGTATCTGTCGAGTCACGCTGGCGGCTAGTGGTGTGTCCGGGATAGTGGGCATTTTCGTGGAAATTTATGAGTGAAGAAGAGCTTGGCTGGGTTAGATCTCGAGATGGGGAGACTGAATGGGTAACGTAACTTCCACGCGACCTCCCCAGCTCTCGACCCTCCATCCATCTCCTCATGCGACATGCTCACTTCACGAGCTATATCCAACAGCTCCGGGTTAGCCACCCACGGCACGCAGATATGTCAGGAAACCACACGTGTCAACTCCTGCGCAATTCATCCTATCCTACAACCTACCCTGACCAATTGCGACAACTTCAGTAAGACCAGGTCTGCCGTATATTGCTCCCGCCTGGAGTGTCCTTTCCGTCCCTCTACCCTTCCCCAGTCGTAGTCTCACTTCCTGGTAGGAATCCCCTCCCCGCGTCGATTCAATCCGCACGAGGCGCTCAAAAGTCGCGTCCATGGACGATTTCGGCGAGGTCGAGGAGGGATGCATCGAGGGGGACGGTCCCGTCTGGGCCGCTCTCGAAGCCCTCTTCGCCACCTGGGACCCCTGGTACCCAGAAATCAACCTCTTTGAGAATGGGGAAGGTCATCTTGAATTTTTCGGAACCGAAAGCGTCAGAGTAGGTTGTTGTGTCGGAGAGATTTCTCGCAGGTACGCATGCCGAGCTGACGATGGGACTCGTGGTGTCGACGATGGCGGTGCGAAGAAAGGACTTTCCGTAGTTCAGCGGTGCACCGATCAGCCGTGTACTCCATGCCATGCGGATTTCCTTATGAACGACAACCGAGGCGGCATGGGGTGCCATGGCCCAGGTTTCCCGAGTAGCGCGTCATGGTTTTGCGCGTGCTTCCGTGTATCTTTCGGGTGGTACGACTGTCCGTGTGTGGCTCTGCGGGATCATGAGGACCGCACTGGAAGGGCCAGCCAGGTTGGCTACTAAACAGACGAGCAAGAATATGACGAAGACGACTAGCTTGGTTGGCGTGCCGTAGTCCATTCTCCAGATCCCACGCAACCCCTTGGACCTAATATTCACCCATGGTCAGCTGGATGACTCAAACAACACAAAGGGGGGAAAGCTCACTACAAAAATTTCATTTCTGCAAACGCAGAGCCAGCCCCGAGGAGCCCAAGTGGAACACCCAGCGGTTTGTAGAGCAAAGGGTAGCGTATCATGTCCCAAATAACTGGGAAGACCCTTTGCGAATGACGGGCTTTCGGACTTCTTCGTTTACCACGATGAAATCGTTCCATATCCGAGAGATTGTGCTGCGAGCTTGCTCAACCAATGGCCAACTACGAGGGTTGAGACGATGAAGAAACCGACGGGTTTTCTTGGCAGCTTGGGGTGTTGTCTTGGTACTATGCTTATCTTGGCTCGATGTATCGGTGGTAACCTCTTGGGTTTCAGACGCTGACAAGGATACCCGTCTTTGGCAGGTAAGAGTCTCTGTCGAGTTCTCCAGAAATTGGTCTCGCTCAGATTCTCTTGGAGCAATAACAGATATTTTGCAATCGCCCACTTGAAATCCTTTCACCAATGGTATTGGTTCATTTCTCGCACAACCAACAGCGCAGGCTATCAAAAGTCTTCTTGTCTGGAAAAAATGATGAGGTCGGCGCATCGCGGCCTCCTTGGCTTTAGAAGGACTGAAGGCCCAGCTAGTGTGGACTGGTCAGTGTTATTTTTGGCAGCGAAGATTGAAAACAAAACCGATCCAAGAGTTCCTGCAACGGGGAAGACATCTATTTTGAGTAGTCACCTAGGTAGGTACCTTACTCATATTTCGACACATCTCTTGGTAGCTATCGAACTGTCCGGCAACCCTTGATGAACGACTGGCGGGAGGTACTATTCCATTTATCTGCTGTAATGACTGTACAAGCTGCGCCTCTATCTATACCCGGCTCTATATTGTCTCTACCCAACTCTAAAGTACTTCCGGTAAGACTAGACCATGGCTCGGGAATACCGCTTCCCCACCCTCGTCTTCTGAAAGTTCTCATCGCTATCTGATGCGTACATTTGCTTGTCGTTGGCCACTGGTAGATCAGCGTTGTCGAAGACCGGACGGGAGAAGCGATTGTACGCGATAAACGTATCGCGGTCCCCAACGGCAGCATTTACCGGCGTGGGCGCGCGCATCGATTTGCGAGGGAGCTCGACGGCGTCTTCGACGATGGGCTTGACGCCGTAGTAATTGTAGATCATATTGAGAGAAGGAATCGAGAGACCGTGCACCACAATGGAGAAGAGCACGAGCCAGTAAACGACCGGGATCATAACGCGTACCAGGTTCGTCTCCTCTGCGTCGCCCTCGCCGAGTTCGGGAAACAGGTGGCGGGTGTGCTCGACGTAGAAAACGGCTCCAATGCCAATGGGACCAAAGTAGCCCATGAACATGGCTTCCTTCCAGTCCTTGACCACTTTGGGCATGAACTTGTAGGACATGAAGATGGCGGGAATGCGCCGGAAGAGCAGTACTAGGACGCCGAGGCCAATGAGACGGCCGTAGGTAAGACCGGTCGTCTCGGGTTGGTGGAACTCGGACCAGGGGATGATGGTGCCAATGTACATGAAGCCGCCGAAATTGAGCAGCACGTCCATGCAAGAGTTGACTTCGTCGTGGCGCTCCAGAGTTTCGGCAAGATACTCGCCGTCCCAGTTCATGGCGTTTCCGGCGACGAAGCAGGCGAGAAGGTCATCAGTGCCGAGCATGCCGCAAATGCCGACGAGCCAGAGCTACAGATTTGTCAGTCTTCAGCCGTCTTCGAGGGCAAGTTAGATCCAGAACCTACCCCGATGGCCGTTGGGTAGAGCAAATAGCTCTCCGAGTCGACCCACTTGCTGAAGAAGGATGATTAGCATAAGCACAGTTGTTGAACTCAAGAGAAGACTCACCGGCGAAGGGCGAACTTGAGAGCCAGGCACGAACCGTAGCCGACAATGGCTCCAATGACAACCGACATGAGTACAATGTACAGCCACGTCTCGACAAACCAGTTCTTCAAGGCAACACCGACGCCCCCGCCAAGTCTCCCAACGTCTCCTGCGCGAGTTACCAGCTGAGCCGCTCGCTCGCGAACGGTTCCGGTGCTATGGACCCCGGCACCGGGGACATCGGCATGGCGGATGAGATAGACGGCAAGCATGAGAAAGGGGAAACCGAAGCCGTCGTTGGCGCCAGCCTCGGAGGAAATAATCTCGCGTAGATGACGGGGAACGAACTTGTCGGCAAACGGCCCCTTAGCGATGGCCTGTGAGAGAATCGGGTCGGTGCATGTCACGCAAGAACCGATGACCAGGGCGGCGAGTAGTGTGATGTTGGGCACGCTAGCCAGCAGGCAGAGCGTGGTGCACAACCACATGATGGTCATGATAGGGAGAAGGCAAAGGGCCATTTCCTTCCACCTGTGCAGGTTATACTTGGCCGGCAGCTGGAAGCCAGCAATGACGAGCTGCACTCCGATGACAACCCGAGCCATACCCAGCGTGATGTCGCTTGTCTGCCCCTCAGCCGCGGATCCCCACCGAGAGCTGTCGAGGAATTTGGCGGCGATGGGACCGAGGATGATGCCGATGACGACGGCGGGAAGAGCCTCTCCTAGAAACCATCTGCTCTTGACGAGGACTGAAATGATACCGTAGAGCAAGATGAAGGCACCCAACACGGCCAAGACAGTGTTGAGCTCGCTGACATCGAGGTTTGGCATCTTGGCGATATCCCTTGGCCTGCAAGTAACGACAGCTTGGTGAGAAAGGCAGAGAGACCCAAAAAAAACTAAAGGCTTATGGAAAAGAAGACAAAAAACACAAGCTGCCAGAGCCCGAATAGAAGAACAGAGACAAGAGAAAGAAAAACAGCAGAAGCGAAACAACCGGGGCTGCCAGAGTCCTGGAATGAAAAGAAGAGAGGAAGGAATGGCTGGGCCGAGAAGGAGATTGATATCAACTTCGATCTATCCCTCGCCGGCAGGCCAAGAGCAGATCGTTATTCTGGAGACAGGGGCCAAGAAGCAAAAAGATCACCTCCAAGACAACCCTAAAAAAGGCTTAGTCGACCTTTAAAGGGATGTCTGATCGTCGTTGCTTGAACGCCGCACCAAGACTGAACCCTTGAATTCTCCGATGCCATTCGACGGGAGCCTCTTGGCGATAGCCTTGGCCGCAGCTTGGCAGAGTTAGACCTTGACGAGAATTCAAAAGAAGCGTCTGCTGAAACCCATCACCGTGCTTCGGCTTCGTGTTGAAGCGACCCTGTGCCCTGGAAACGAACATCGCGATCGGCAAGTTTGTGCCGGATGCGATCGACAAGATAGTAGAACTGGTGTAACTCCAGCCGAGACTACCTCATTGCCCCGTGGGGTCGCCGAAGGCAAACCCCCACGTTTCGCCTTGGGAACAAAAGACGATTTATATTGCCGATATCCCAAAACAGCAAGTTGTCGCGTGCCATCGAGTGGCTGCTAAACGTGGAAATTCGAAACAACGAAACAATGTCCCGAAACACGCACTGTCCGCGTTCTCCCGAAAACCGCCAAGCGTTGAGATAGGAGCTTGAAAAGGAGTAACTCCGTAGTGCAAAGGAAAAGAGCGTTATTGCCGGCGGCAATTTGTGGAACTCGACGAAAGGTGTTCTGGTATACACTATAAGAGGAGATCAGCATCGTGTTTACCACATTTGCCAAGCAGTGTCTCAAAAGTTGCCAGCATTCGAACATCTGGAGCGAGCAAGCGGATCTGCGGATCGGTGGTGACGATGCTTTTGAGCCTCTTTGCCTCAGAAAAAGTCGCTCAGGTAGCTCGTAGTCCCGGGCTGTGAGGTGCAACTAAGGTGTGGCAAACGTGATGATGTTGGTGTGTGTGTGAGAAACAAGGGAGCCCAGACTGCAAGATGAAGCAGTGAGTAAGCCTGTGTTCACGCCCCACAGGCTTTCCTATGTCTTGTTGTCGCCTCTTGATCAGCAGGCTTCATATCTAGGTAGGTACACGGTCTCCTCCAGACCAGTCAAGTCCCTTATACCTTACTCTATGTTCCAGAAGGGTTCAAATTTCGAACTACACGAGGAAGATTCTGACCACATATAGTGGCTCCGAAAACGCTCCATGACAACCTTCAAAAAGCGATATCTAGCCAATCATTCAAATCCTATAGCACCTTGTATAATTGCACGAGTCTCCCAGCTTCAAAGGTTATTTATTGCCTTCCAGTTCACATTTTTTTAACATTCTACCTCCTACAACACATACCCCGTATCCAACAACAGCAACAGCACCCTTCCAGCCATCACATACAAAAACAACCCCCTCCTCCCCTCCACCCCTCCACCTCCACCTTTCCAACCAATTTCCCCCTCTCCTCCTCAAACACCCCCTCCAACTCCTCCTCCCAAATCCACTTCATCCTCTCCTGCACCGTATCCCTCAAAATCGGCACAGACTCATCATAGCTCATCCCCTTCATACTCTCCGCCTGCATCTGATACAAATACCCCGCCCCCCGACTCGTCTCCTGCACTTTATTCGCCCTCGGCATCCTCACCCGTTCATACACCCCCATCCACTCTTCCAGTTTCCCATCCCCCCGCCTCAGAAACTCACCCATAGCCCTCCCAACAACAAACCCATCCTCCACCGCCTGCCCAGCCCCCGCACTCTGATGCGGAACCATAGGATGTCCCGCATCCCCAACTAGCACCACCCTCCCCTGTTCAAACACCCAACCCTCCGCCGCCTCCCGGTCGTTAATCTTCCACTTTGACACCTCCTCCGGCAGTAACCTGATCAGTTCCTGTACTATCCCATCGCAATCCCCAAAATCCCTTTCCAATTCCGCTCTTGGGCAGGTGGCGGACCAGGACTCTTTCAGGTCTCCGAGGGATTCCTCCGGGGTGGTGATACAGCCCACGAAATTTAACGTTTGGGTTTCGCCTTGGGAGATGGGGTATACCAAGAGGTGCTTGTTTGGTCCGATCCACATAACATGATGGGATTGAATTGGCCAGGGTGTAGGCAAGGCAGAGAAGGGTAACAGGCCACGGTAAACGATCTTGCCTGAGTAGAGAGGGGGACTGTGAGGGAGGTATTGATTGCGGATGGGGGAGTGGATGCCGTCCGCGGCTATGAGGAGGGAGGACGTGGTGGCTGTGGTGTCGGTGAAGGTTATTTTGATCGCGGATTTTGTTTTCTAGGCGGTGTTAGATATCTATGGCAAAACGGAGAACGAGAAAGGACTTACGGTGACGGACCGGCACTTCTTCTTTGTGTGCAATGTCGCTGCTTTTCTCTCCTCGATAGCATCGAGCAGAACCTGGAGCAACTCCGCCCGTGATACGGCCGCCTGGCGGATCTTGCCTGAGTCATTGGAGTAGATGGTCGTTATCTCCTCGCTGTTGTCCCAGCGTCGAAGGGTGAAGAAAACACCATCTTTTGAGCCAGCGATAGCGTTGATTTTGTCGCCTAGGCCGATTTGGTGGAGGAGTTTGGTGGCATTGACGCCGAGGTTGACGCCAGCGCCGATTTCGCGGTATTGTTCTGCTTGTTCGTAGATGTTGATCTCGATTGAGCCTGGGGGGCAGAAGTGGTGGAGGAAGAGAGCGGTGGTGAGGCCCGCGATGCCGCCACCGATGATGGCTATGTTGAACGGCCGTTTTGAAGTCTTGAGGCCCATCGCGTTGTTTGCGTCTTTGATGATGAATCAAGCGGTGTAAGGTTCATTGTATCTAGAGAAGATGGGTCAGCTGGCTTTTTGTGACAATGCATTGAGAGGATCAGATGGGGACATCTGGCAAGGGAGGTCATGTCTAGTGCACCCACTTGGCAACACCTGTTCCGGCAGTTGGCGCATGGCGGAATGCAGCTTCGGCCAGGTTCATGATATTGCTCCATCAAGAGTCTTTTCCTGTTGTGGGTATATTTCCATATTCCAGGCAAGTATAGGCTGTGGTGGTGGTGCGCTGACAGATGTAAGCTGCAGGAGATCATGGAATCAAGACATGACAACTGCGGCTGACCCAATGTGTCGGACTACTCTCTCCTCGACACTCTCTCCTCGACAATGAGGTTCGGCTATGATGCCGAGTAGACGAGGTGGGGGTCGAAGAGGGGGCATGATGCCCGCATGAAGCTATTCCCGACTTATCTGCGGCCGCGGGGCTACCTGGTGTGTTTTTGGTTTAGACACGTCACACTGCATGTTTTGTCGGAATGCTACGTTGGGTGTGGGAAGATACCTAGTGAAGCATTTGATGTCAAAAGAGAGGATGCATGGCATAACATATAGCCCAGTCCGATGCTGAATCCTTAGTTGTGGAAATCAGACGCGACACAACTATGATAAATGAATCAAAAACAACATCAACAGCATTGTCAAATGTGGCCCATGTTATTTCCCAGAGGCAGCTAGCTGCCCAGTATCCAGTTCCCTTCACCTAACGCCCCAAGCCCCTTTAAGACAAAACCCCAAGCTTCCTTCACCCAAAACCCCTTACTGAACTGGGTCACCCAATCTCCGAGGCTAGGAAGATTTCCCGGTTAATTCCCCAGGTGCGGCACCTCTCCTCAACCCAGGCTGGATCATGGGGGCGGAGCGGGAACTCGAAAACCAAAGTGACAATTTTTTTGGTGCCATTGGTGATGTCTTCTTTGATCTCAACAAGATTGTCCGTGGGCCCGGTGTGGACGTACGCGAGGATTGCTGGGGTGTGCGAGAGAGACATCATGACATCCATCCGCGCCGGCTTGTGAGGGCACTTGGTGCAGAGGATGGGCTCCTCCGGCGCGGTGGTCGCGTTCTGGGCGGTGGAAATCTTGTTTGATTTTGATCTGATCAAAGGAATTGGTTAGATGTTGACGAACTTCATTGGGGAGAAGCTCGATAACTTACGGTGCTTGAGTCTTGAGCTGGGACGATTTGTCTTGGATGATGGTGTCTTTCTTGTGTTGGCTTCAAAAGACAGAGGAGAGGTTGTTGGGAGGAGGGAAGAGTTGAGTGAGAGTGGGAGAGAATGTATTGAAATAAACCTGCGGGAACTTAGATTGCCAGGAAGCATGGACCGACGGCGAGACGGGGCAGCCAGCGGCGAGATAGGGCTGGGGGCGAGCGATGACATCGTCAAGGTGTGTCTGATGACATCGTTGAAGTGATGATATTGTCAAGCCCATCATGGCACTGCACCTCGCACTGCATAAATCCCACACCGAGAACCGGGGCAGTGTTTGCTGGTTAGTTATTCAGAAATATAGGCATCTTGGCCCATCGACATCTTTTTAAATTGCCCAGTTATCAACAGGTCTTTGAAACAAACAAATCACAACCTTTCCATCGCATCACTTTGCTCTGAACCCATATCTGCCGTCTCTCCCTGTTCTCTTTGAGCATCCTCTTTGGCCAAGTCTTTACCTTCATCACCAAAAGACTAAGATATCCTTGTTGTCAAGCTACCTTATCTCTTCGCAACCTCCTATACCATCCAGACAAATCCACCAACCCTAGGCACCACCTCAGTCATGTCAACTCCCGCAGAATCCTCCCAGGATTCCCCTGATCCTGCCCTACTCCGAGACATCAACATCGAACAAGCCCTCAAAAAGCCACCGAGAATGGGTCCGCAGCGTGACATCATTTTCCGACCTCCAGCCTGAACACTCCCTTTACCTCCGAATGAAGCCCCAAGAGAAGAGACTTCTACAATACGAGCTCAGCCGCTGGGAGAAAAAGATGAAAGCAAAAGGTCAGGCGGTGGACAATTCCCTTGTTGTTCAAATAGCTTTGCTCTCGTTCTTAAGATGGTAAGTTTCCCCTTGTTCGTCCATTTGAAGATCATGGCTAAGGTAATGTTTTTATAGGTCCTGGGCATCAGACACCCTCCGAGCCGTCTTCAAATACCTTATCGCCATGTTGTCTCAACCATCAATCTCGCAAGACAGACACATGGAGATTTTAGGTCGCAGTCTCGGCTGTCGTGATGATGGTGGATTGATGCCGTATGATGTACGGCAGGACCGGACAAAAGATTTCATGGTAGATCCTGATAATCAAAGTTTCTGGGACGTGATGAGACGGACGCCGGAGGTGTTGAGAAATGCTGTGAGGGAGATGGGGTGTTTGGTGAGTTACAGCAATTTTGTATTACATCCTGACTCTACAGTACTAATGAAGAGTGAACTTGTAACAGGCGCTCCATCGCTCGGTTAGCCATCGATAAATAAACTTTCTTCGCCAAATGGCGAGACTTGGATGAGGCAGCTGTCCACGTTTACGAACGAACTCCCGGCGGCAGACCTGTCGTGCGCCAGCGTGTATTGAAGGATGAGTACGACGTATGGGATATCTGGATCCTGGTCCGCTTTTTGGAACGGCGCCGTGTCTTGCAAGATGACTTCCTTGTAGTGGAGGAAACAAGCGAGATATTTGGCAGGATTGGTGGCACTCATGTAAGCGTATTCGATACCTTGTTTCTGATGTATGCTAACAGCATCTTTTTACCCAGCTCGGCTATCGATACATGATAGAGTGCGTCGGCTACCACACTGAAGAAATAACCATTATCAAGAACAAGTCCTCTCAGAACGCCATGTTAGCTTCTGTGGGTCTGGGAGGACCATTCGAAGGCATGGAAGACTGGGACCTGGTTATTCTTAATTACCAGACGCCAGGGAGGCACACCCGGGGCTTTTATGTCAGCGAGGATGTCACCAACCGGTGGTGTGGGAAGCCGCTTCCTGGACAGTATGCTCTCTGCGACTGCGGACTAAGGCCACCCGAAGAACGCCGGTATCTTGGAAGCTGGTGTAATGCAATGATGTGCTACCACGAACGACTCTGGGTTGGTGTACTCGAGACGGAAGCTCAGCGAAGTGATACTGTGGCAGAACATGAACCGGTTTTGGACAGCTTGGGCGATTTCTACTTATACATCTTTGATTTACACAATTTCGATATCATTGACCTGACGGTGTTGTCGATGTAGAACGACTGCCTCCTGGTCCGTGGATCAGGCCTAGACAAATTGTGCAAGCTTCAGGATCCCGACACGATCTACATCTTGGAGACCTCGCCTGGAATCAAAGCACGTTCGCTACGCCAGCATGTAGTAAAGGTGAGAAAAAGGGGTTGGATGGAGGGGGAGGAGAGCAAACTCCTACTTCAACCTGAAATTTCACAAACCTGCTTTCCAACCCAGCAGGGACTCATTTCACCAGGTTAACTCGAACTGGCTTGAGATGAAGCTTCCCCGAGGCAGTTATCCTCATCCTGCCCTAGATGAATTTATCTCCGAGTTTCAGGCAAGTGATTTTGACCTTGGCGGCACTAAAATGCTCAGCGACACTCCCACGGGGACGGTCTTTCTGGTTCCATGGATCTCAGCACCTCGAGTTGATCGCTATGACGATTCCAATTTTGGCAATGACAAGGCAGTGGTCAAAATCATCGGTCAAAACTGGTGCTTCCCTTGAGAACAAGGAAAAGGCCGAACTGGGAGTTGACTGCTTCCAGAGGCTGACCTATCTTTCAGAAATCGGCGTGACCGGAAATCGCGTGAGGAATACGCTGCAGCTCATGGGATATGCAAGGTTCCCAGCGCAAGAGCTCTTCTTACATAACTTCCTCTTCCAGCACTTGGGTGATACTGATTACAATGTTGCGCGAAGAGCAACTGACCGGTTGAACACCAAGCTAAAATATCTCCACGGCCTGGTGTTTGAGCACGCTCAAGGCGGGCAACTTTTGGAGACTGTAAAGAAACGTTTCGAGAACCGGGACAGTATCAAGGGCTTTGACTCTGGACATCCAGTCGAGGCATTGGCCGTGGAAAACTGGCACACCATCCTCCGGTTTATGTTTGAGATTGGCACAGCCTTACAAAACCTCTCGGGCGCTCATCGTGCCGTCACGTTGTCAAACGTCTTCCTTCGCCACAGGCTCTACCCTCCAGACGTCTCCGAAAAGGTGGTCAAAACCAAGCCCTTCCTAGACCGGTACCAGGCCGTGTTTGGGAACCCCTGTCTTCCAGAAGAGGTGGACGACACAACGTTCTGGAAATCCATGGATTACCCTCGCCCGTTGGCGACCCTGACTGCGACAAGGGGGAAGGACGCCATGAAGTTTGGATATTTCGCTTGTCAGCTCATAGAGGCAGCACTGCCAGGGCTGGAAGACATCAAGCAATACCCTGCAATCACGACGGGCCATGACGATCATTTTTCCTCCCGCGTTGCATATTCGTGAAGATCATCAAGTTCATCGACTTGATACGAGAGGCCGAGGAAAGAAGGAATAATGCAATGGCTATCAAAACCATGAACGACATGCTCGTGTTCATCAAGAGAATCGTCATTGACGAGCGGCTGAAGCTGCAAATCGATCAACGAGTATCAGAGGACTCACTCGAGCGGCAGTATGGGGTGGTGCCAGCCCACTCTGGATGCTATCCATGACCACGGTCGCAGATTGATCTTCCTCCGGATAGCTCTGTTCCCGGACAAACCTGACGGAGACTTGTCGCCCTGGGATGACGATAACGATAACATGCCCGGTGATGATGATGTGCCGGCAGATGGTTACAGCGACAGCCCCAAGAGCAAAGGTCAAAGTTCGAATCCCAGCGACAAAGCAGACAGCAAGAAGAAGGACTCCAGCTCTGGAACCGATGGTTCTGGAATTGCTCATCGTCAAGCTCCCGCCCAAATTCGGTAAGTCCCGAAGAAGGTCTGGTCGTGGGGCTATCGTTGGACGACTATGGCTTCGGGGAGGACGCTTTTACCCCTGATCTCAACTATCACCTTGATAACGAAGATAAAAGCGAAGGAGATGTAAATAAAGTTGAGAAGGACAACAGTGAAGAGGTTCCGGCTGGCCATGATGCCGATCGATAGATGTATGCCGAGCAGGTGGTCATGAATCTTTCGTGTACCATCAACACCTGAGATCGAAAACAATAGATTTTAGTGAGTAATGTAGATTAATATACTCGTAATAAATATCGACCGGATGTCGGGTGGGCGTTGGTTGCTACACACTTGAGCATTGATGGCTATTTTGCCCACTTGGGCATATATAGAGAGAAGCGGTGAAGCGGACATGGAAATGGCCATGGTGGATATTCTGGGGAATGAAAGGAAGAAACTTTTGTGAGAACAGCACCTTGAGTTCAGGATCAGACGATCAAGAGACCGCAGAGGTACCATTTTGGTGGATGTATCAGAATGCTACATACGCGAAAAGATTGTGATAAGATAGGGGAATGAAGTTGATGTTGTATGATAGTGGCACTGTTTGTTGGTTTGCGGCTTACAACAGTCTCCAAGTGATGTCAGTTGCCCCTGAGTGCTCCCTTTAATCGACTCTAATCTGTCATTGGTGGAAGCTCCAAAACACCCCACCCGTAGGGCTGAGAGTCGCTAGTATAGGCAGCACCTTACGTCAGTGGGGCTAGGGTCCCCGCACCCCCGCCAAAGCTTCGAGTGGTCGCATGAACGTTGAACCTTCTTTATGCCTTCTACTTCACCAAGCTTCTTTAAACCTGATTACATCCACATCATCCGATACCATCCAAACACATTACGCCAAATCAGTCCAGTTTCTATTTCTCGCACCATCACCTTCACAATGACAACCGACCCCCTCAGCCCAGCCTCAGTGCTAGGCTCCATGGTCGAAGCCCTCCCCACCCACTCCAAAGACGACACCACCTCCGACCTCAGCTCCTCCCTCGACGCCATCACCCTATTCATCCACAGTTGCTTCACCAACCTCTCCTTCCGCCTCCTCGGCCTCAACGAAGACCAAAAGATCGAGTCCGAGTGCGCCAAGCTCGCCCCTCGCCTCCCCCCGCCATGGAACGCCTCCGCCAGCTCCCACAGCTTCGTCTACGCCCACCCCCAATCCTCCATGCAATTCGTCATCCGCATCGACCGCCTCGGCTCCAAGATTGAAGTCCGGGGGTTGGCCACCGGAGACGAACGCATCGCCCGCTTCGAAATCACACCCAAAGATTACATCTCCAACGCCTCCCTCCCAGTCCGCATAACCATGACACCCGAAGGCAACGAAGACCGCTCAGACCTCTACTCCAAACTCTCCAACGTCTTCATCTCCGAAGCACGTATAACCGACCTCGCCTCTTTGCTCAAAATCTCCATCATCCAACGGTTGATACCATCCCTCCAAAAAGAGGGCTATCAAGAAGACCCAGCAGCATCAGCCACCCGTCTTGATCCTAACCCCCATAGACCACAAGACCCCCCTCACCTCCCCCCACCAGCCCAACCAAACCCTTACCCTGCCCCTGACCCGCTCGCCAACCCTCCCCCAAGGCCAATCCCAGCCGGTGACTTCCCGCCACCTGACTTTGAAGACGAATACGAAGTCAACCGACCCCCTCGAGGTCCCCTCAACATGCCTGGTGGGAATTTCGGAGGGCTGGGACATAACGATTTGTACCCTCCCGGCCTGGGACCGGATGATTCCATCAGAGGCAGCTTTGTCGGTCCGGGCGGGCTAAGGAGACCAGGTGGGCGCGGAGGGTTTGCAGGGGGCGGTATGCATCCCACGTTTGACGATCCGTTGTTTCAGGGACCGAGGGGAGAGGGAGATGGGAGCTTTGACGGGCAGGTTCCGCCTGGGGCGAGGTGGGATCCGCTTGGTCCGGGGGGCCAGCCTAGGTTTGGGGGTGGAAGACCGGGTGGTGGTAGGGGAGGTAGTGGGTTTGGAGGGGGATTTGGGGGGTTTGGGGGTGATATCATTTGATGGAGTATAAACTTTTTGAGAAGAGGTGCAGGGGGAGAGAATGATAAGGGCGTTTTGTAGCAGTGTTGTACGCTTTATGATGTTATTACGAAGAAACGAAGCTGATGTTATTGTTTTGATGGGCAAACTCCAAGTCGGAAGCTAGTGACGAGACACTGTCTTTTATGGCCATGACGAATGACCAAAAAGAATTAGCTAGTTTGATGTCAAGCAAAACTTGCAAGTGGCCCATTCCAGACAACATTCATCCTCTTTCGCTAAGAAGCTGTCTCTGGCCCTGCCGTGATTTAATGACATGTTTATATAAAATCAACGCTTTGTACACCCCGACTACATAAACTTCTACCCCCCCCCCCAAAAAAAACCTATCGCTGCTACCTACGCATATACATCCCCATAATAAACCCATCCAACCCTCCCACTTTCACTCACGCGACCCCAACCAGTCTTCTCATTTTCTTATCCTCTTCCCATCTCATCATCCCTCTAAAAATATCCCCAAATCTCCCCTCCTGCACCTCTTGATAGTAGCCCATAAGCCTGAAATGCCCCACGGGCAAATCAGCCTCCGAGTTCCAGGGCAGCACCTTCCCTTTGTACGTCCTGGCCAAGTCCTACTGAGCCAGCTCCCTCAGTTTCCCCTTCTCCTCATCACTAAGAAGTTCAAACCAGTGCTGAAAGTTCGCCGTGTTTTCCTGCGCCGCCTTGACAAAGAACACCCTCAGGTACTCACCCGTCTCGTCGTTGCGCACCTTGTCGCCAAAGTCAAAGTTGCCCGCAGAGACGGCAGCGCCGAGGTTGACCAAGTCGTTGGTCTCATCCTCCCAGCCCTCGGACCCGTCGTCCGAGTCGAGGTCTGCAAACTGGGACGCCGCCGCAGCTGCTACCTTGGAGGCTGGCTGGGCTCCTGACGCAGTGACGAGGTCGTCGACGAGGAGCTTGAGAATCTTGAGCGGGGCAGGGATGATGGTGTATTGATCAGGCTCTGCTGGTTACGTAAGCTTTTATCACAGACATGGGCGAGAGGGGGAGGGTGAACTTACGCAACTTGGTCTGGGATCGTGTTCTAATGCGGTTGCCCTCGGGAATGATGAGTTGGCCCCTGACCTGAACCTGCGCGACGCGGGGGTCGTTGAGGGCGTAGACCTTGGAGAGGGCGATGATGCTGTGACATGTCAGTATTTGTCTTTGATGCGTCTTCAAGAATGTACTCACTTTCTCGCAGTCTCCTCATACCCCACAAAGTTGACCGAGTTCTCCAACCACTTGGTCAGCACAACCTGCAGGCCATTTTGCCCGTTTATGTTGATGCTGCTCAAGAACTCCACAACATCGTGAGCGCCCACCTCGGAAAGGCGAGCAAAGACCAGGATCAGAGACTGTATCAGACCAACATTCTGAGCGCTGTCGAGACGCTGCGCAACAGCCTGCAAAAGCTGTTGCAAAAAGGGACCAAGCCTCTCTTGGCCAGCCTTTTCGACGAGTTCGGCAGCAACACCACCAACTTCAGCGGCGGCATTATCCTCCAAGTTCTGACCAAGGAGACGGTCGATAATGTGGAGACAGACCTCCAACCCAGAACGGCCGTTTTCGTCTTGGTAGTTAAACATCTGCTGATGGTCGTGTTGGAGCATGTATTTGACAGCTTCGGCAGCTGGCCTAAGAACCTCAGCTTCGTCAGAAGACATAAGCAACCGATTGACCTTGGGAAGAACCGTGGCAACCAAGCCGGCGGGCAGCGGCTCAACGCCAAAGTTGAGGAGAACGGCGAGAATCTCGGCCGCAATCGTAACCAGCGGCTCATCCTGAGTGAGATTGGCAACGTCAAAGGTGCTAGTGATAGAGGGCAGAGCCTTGCTGCAGAGGGCGGTATAGAGAGCTGGGTCTTCAATCTGTTGAATCCTCTCGGCAAGCTCGTAGAAGATATCGTTGACGAGGCCATCGACTTGAAGGTTGGCAGCACCATGCTTCACGACCAAGAACACCAAGTCGAGCGCCTTGCTCTCGGGCGAGAGGACAATACGGTAGTCCATCTTGAACGCTGACCTAAGCGTGTCGAGGAGAGTGACAAGAAGATCCTCGGCATCGTCAAGATCGCTCATATCCTTGGATTCGAGGAATTGCTGGATAGCGACGATAATGGGCACTTGCGCTTCAATGGGAGCGCCACCGATAATGAAGCCTTCGACTGCCTTGACGCAAGCTACCTGCACAAGCTCAGACTCGTCCTGGTTCATAGCGGTGATGACGGCGTCCAGCAAACCAAGAGCTGGCTCAAATGTCCTGGCCAAGGCACCAGCAACCAGATAGCCTCTAGCGCGCAACATGGGCAGGTCCTGCCTGCCAATGGCGTAGTTGACAAGCTCCAGCCAGGCGTGGGACATGTCCAGTGGGATGTTCTTTTCGCAGTCATAAAAATCGTTGAAGAGGGAGATGAACAGGAAAAGAGCCGCCTCCTGTTTCTGCCAGCTTGGGTGCTCTCCCACGAAGAGTGTCTTGGTAAACGCATACAGCCCAACGAAGGCGTCCTCGCCCATCCACTCACCCATCTTGATGAGCAGGTCACCGCAGGCGGTTCTGGCCGTGTAGTTTGAGGACACGGACGTCTCCTCGGCAAGGTAGAGAGAAACATCAAGCTCCCAGAGGCCCTCCTCCTCTTGGCTGACTTGCCCGTACCTGACGAGGATCTCCATGAGTTCCAGAACCCAAGGCGTGTTGTGTACCGATCCGTGACTGGCAATCTCAGCCTCCAGCGACTTTGCCACAGGGCTTGCCCGCATGCACTGGTTAAGGAAGTCCAGCTCATCCAACACCAGGACGTCGACCGAATACGGAAGGCCATCTGTGTCTTCCAAGCGGCTCTGCGAATCGCTAGTAACGTAGAGTGCTTCGTACACAGGTCCCAACCGCTTCAGCTCCTGCCATGTTACCGTGAAGAACTTGGGGCTCTGAGGCAAGAGAAGAGAACCAAATACGGTCTTGATCTTGATCAGAGTCTTGAGGACCTGGATCTTGAGCGCAACTGGGCCGTACCACTCCTCCGGTTGGTTATCCGCATTGGCAACTTCTGGAAGCGGGCTGGAGACGACCTGCTCCATGAATGGAAGCCACCCAGACAAGACTTCATCGGCGAAGGCTTTAACCTCCTTCTTGTGGCCATCCTTCACAACTTCCATCAGGTCGAAGCAGGCGCGCAAGACAGCGACAGCCAGCGCACGATGCTGAGACTTGCGGTTTATGTTCAAGGCCACCTCGTAGCATGCCGTAATAATGTCGCGGGCCAAGCTAAAGAATTGCTCATCGGTGATGGCCTCCTCTACAAGGTCCTGCAAAATTCGAAGAGCGCCATGGAGCTGAGCATCGTTGCCAGTGGGCATAATACCCAGTACGGTGGGCAGGAGGTTGGGCCAGTTGTGTGGGAAGTCGGCGACGGCGATCTTCGAAATAAGAAGACTGTTACACAAGGGGTGTTAGCTCCTCCTTCCCTGTTCTCCAACAGCTAGCATCCTTGCCCGTGGAGGGGTTTTGTGTCTTGTTTTACCTGGCCGAGACCTTGACCTTGCGCTCATCCTGCTCATCCTCGGGAGCTATGGCGAGGTTGAGAATAGTAGTCTTCAAATACTCTTTGGTCTCGTCGGAAATGGGCACATGGTCCGGATCATTGCCCTCGGGTTGCCAGTTCTTCTCAACAAATCTGCGGAGGGCACTCAGGGATGCCTGTCGGATTCCGACCGCGAGCTGCTGTGATAGGCCGATGCGTGTGAGTGCTAGAGGAAAGTCGGGGTTCCTTTGGGCATGTTGGAGTTCGAGCTCGGCCTGTTTTCGAGGCGCTTCTTGGGGCTTTTGCGTGTCCACAAGGACCCGGACGAGATGGGCGTCCATGGTGGACGGCTGGAGCTCGGAATAATGATTCGCGGGGAATTGGGGGAGTTACGCCGTATTCGATAAGAGCTGTCACAGCTGGTGTTGTTGTATAAGAGTAGACAAGACCTTGCTGTCCACGTTTTCGGAATACTTTTAGGCAACTCTGGACGACACGGCGAGCTGCTGTCAGAACGTGAGGGGACTTTCTCGAAATATCAGAATGGCGGTGTTATCCGAAGGTGGGGTTGCATTTCAGAAGACTGACGCCTCCTCCAAAATCTCGAGTGGAGCGCTGGACCTCGAAGCTTAAGAGGTTAATTGGCAGAGCAGGGGCACGCGCCAGACGTGGGGAAGGCGGACAGAATAGTCCAGCTTTTCCCCGCTAAGTAACTCTCTTTCTTGTACAAGCTACCAGTCACATGCTTTGGCGTTGCGGAATGCACGACTCGTCGCGTCTCCCACCAAACAATGGAAACCCCTCCCTTCGCGCTCGTGTAAGCATCAGAACCAGATTCAACAACAGCCACAGCGCTTAGCGTCAAATCCCCGAATACATCACGTCTCATCATATACCCTAAAGCCCAAAATAACCTCCTTTCATGGTCACCATGGCCGACGAATCCTCCTCCCTCCCCATAGACCAATCCCACATCCTCCTCACATCATTCAACACCTTCCTCACCGTCGCCATCCACAACATCCTCTTCTACCGCCGTCTCTACCCCCCCGAAACCTTCCTCTCCGCCCGCGCCTACAACCTCCCCGTCCACCAAAACCGTCACCCAAAAGTATGCACCTGGATCACCGACGCCGTCTCCTCCGTCGCCGCCCAGCTATCATCAGGCAAAGTCTACCTCATAGCAGTAGTAATCCACTCCCCTCTCGACCCTTTCTCCCTCTCCTTCCCCCCCTCCCCATCCCCCATCCCTCCAGGCTCAGTCCTAGAACGCTACACATTCGACACCTCCCACTTCCCAACCTGGACAACCCCCTCCATGGCCACCCACGCCCGGATCCTGGAAAAGGACTTCCGCTCCGAAGTCACCCGTGAGCCGTTACTCAACCACCCCTCCCTTAACCTTACCAACCTTAACGAGCAATTCCGGGCTTGCCTCCTCAAGATGGCGCAGGTGATGGAGCGGTTGAGTCCGATACCAGAGGGGTGCACGTTCACGCTAGCTGTAGAGCTGAAAGATGACGCTGCTGCTCCCATCGGTGTAAGTGAACTTTTTCCTTTGTCTAAATATGGTCGGTAATGGTGCTAAAAACAGAGGCCAGCACCATCAAGATTGGATCCCCTCAGAACCAACTGATCCTCCACCAGAGCCACAAGACAGAAAAGGCAAGGGGGGGTGCGTCACCTCAGTGGCATCCAGGGCAGAAACCGGGGTAGCAGCCAAAACTACACCAGTCAGGGTGGTGGAGGCTGGACCGCTGTGGTTTGAGTGCTGGGTTGAGGAGTCGAGGGCAAAGGTTGGGTTGATGGAATTTACGGCTGCGCAAGAGAGAGTGTGAGGGGTATGGCATGGGTTGTTTGTCTGTGTCTGGGATTTTCGGTTGGCGTTCAGGTTGCAAGTGTTCATTTAGCTTAGTGATACCCCCAGGACTGGCAAATAGAAACAGGTCCTCGTTTTATTATTACACGCACGCTATCTTATGTTTTCAGTAGCTCAGCAAATGCCTCACAATAGGCTGGAATAGATCACACCCTCACAACTTGGGAGGCTGTTGTGTCCCGCCTCATAAGCAACCCCCGACTCACACCCAACAGTGACGAAAGACCCACAAAACTGGAAACGAGAAAAAATCAAAAAACATACAACACCGAGGATTCCCCAGTGGTCACCCACCTGAGTACTGATTCGGCTCTCAGCCATTTGACGAGGGCAGAGCGGACGGGATGCCGTATTTTTAGCTGGATATGGTCGTATGTGCTAGTCAAGTTCAGAATTGGGGTCCATAGTGCGCTTTGCAACATCCCACTGGTATTGTCAGTCAGTGATGGTGAATAAACCACACCTACATGTTCACAAGTCATGATCAAAAGACACAACAAAACACTAATGGTCCATATTCCATCCCCCCTTTGGCCTCGCCAAATCTCTACCCTATATCCCTACAACAATTCCAACAAAAAAAATAAAAAAATACAAATCCTATCCCAATACAACAAACACCCCCAACGCCTCGCCTTGCAAGTGATGTCCCAACAAGTTTATCCCTTTCCCTCCCATTTTTCCATCTCCCCTGTAACCCCCCTCTCCTCCTTTCATATGTATTATTACCCGCCCCACATTAAGTATCCCCCCCCTGATGCCCCTCCCTCACACTCCCCTTCAACACCCCCCTCAAACTAACCACCTCCCTCTTCAACCTCGCATTCTCCCTCTTCACCCTCCCCATCTCCTCCCCCTGCTCCCTCAATCTTCCCACCAGCTCCTCCTTCCCCTCCTGCCCCTTCCCCTTGATCGCCTTTACAATCTTCCCCAACTCCCCATTAAACTTTTCATACAGCAGCTCGTTCTCCGCCGTCGCCTCCTTATACAACTGATCAATCGCCTTGACCTTCATCTCCATCCCCCTCAGCGTGTCCTCCAAGTCCTTCTCCAGCTGCTGCTTCCTCTGCTCCAATTCTATCAGCGCCAGAGGGACCTTCTCCTCCAGAGTCTTGACCGCAAGCGTCAACTTTCGAAAGTCAAGGGTAGATGAGCGGGGCAGCGACGACCCCCCTAGGCGCGCCATGTCCTCTTCTATGCGGGAGAGTTCCGACTTTAGCGAAGCGTCGACTTCGTCGATGGCTTTCTTTTCCGTTTGCAATCTCTCGCGGAGCTTCTGCGGGGATTGCAGACGGAGTCTTTGGCCTGGTGTGCTCGGCGTGCGGGGAATGCTGCTCGTCCCAGTGCCGGGTCTGACATTGGCGGGTGACTCGAGCGGCGGAGGAAAAATTGTCGCCCCTGGGATCCTCGAATTGGGCTTCAGGGTAGGGATCTGCGAAATGGCGATGGTTCTAGCACGCGCTCTGTCGTAGCTCGTCTTCCCTGAGTCTTCCTCTGACCCGTCCCCTTCTTTTTCTGATGGGGTTTTTATATCGTGGTGGAGAATGGGATCGTTCTCCTTTTGTCGGGAGGAGCGGAAAGTGCTTGTGCTGCTGGATGGTGGCTGTGGACTGATGGGTATCCTGGACGGTGAGGCTTTGGTGGGGGAGGTGGAGACTCTCGAAAAAAACATTGACTGAGGACGTGGTGTGGAGTTGAACTTTTCGGCGGTCTGCTGCCTGCTGACACGAAGAGGCATAAGTTGTTCTTCTGGATCATCGATGTTGGCGGCAGCCATAAGAGTTTTGAGGTCCGAGAGCGAGCTACGGCGCTTCTTTTTGACCAGTTTTGTCTCGGTCGGCTCGTCGTGCGGTTCACCAATGGTCTCGAGATACCGGTTAGAGCTACCCGGCCGGTGCTCAATGTCATCGAATGCCCCGGCAATAGGTGGCCTGTCCCTAGATGCTGGCCTCCGGAGCCTGCCCTGAGTAGGGAAGTTCAGGCTCATGTCAATGGACTTTGACCTGCTGTTCTTGCCAAGACTGGCACTCTCACCGGGCACAGGGGCCTTGCTGGCGTGCTTGCTCAACGTCCTCCACACCGAAGGCCGCTCATCATTCTTGCTGTTTTGGCGCAGCAGTGTGTCGAAACCAAACTTCCTGCGCAGCGACGACGTGTTGGATGTCACAGACCCCGACTGAGACTTGTGGCTCCGGCCGGTTGCGTGCAGCGACTCGAAAGATCTGTTGTTCATCAGCATCTGCATGGTGACACTCAAGTGGTTCTCCTCAAAGATGCGATCGACATCCTCCACCATTCTATCGAGGAGGTTGATATAGTTTGGTGCGGTGTCGTCGTCAACCAACAGTTCGGCAAAAGCAAGCGTCAAGGCGCCTCTGTCACCGTCATTGGAGCAGCCGTCCAAGAGATCAGCCAGAAGCTTGATCAAAGCGGTGAATGCTCGTCGGTTTTGAGGGGCCATGTCGCTGAAAATAAACCTAACAAAATCTGCGAAATCCCCCACAACCTTCTTGGAGGCGCGGATCTGCAGAGCTTCAAGCGCCTGCATGGTCATGATAGGCCCAATCTGCTCGCGCCAGGCGATGCGGACAAACTTCTCGAATGCGCAAAAGATCACCTCGGTGCCAAGCTCTTGGGCGGCTTCGAGGTCAAAGGGAAATTCGATCAATCGGTTGTAGAGGTCGTTGATAGCGAGCTCATCAGCCATTGATCTGTTAAGCAACGTGCGGCCGATGAAGTAGCCCTTCCGAGCCTGCATGTTGGCCACATATCCTGTAAATGTTTGCTCCAGGCGCACAAGAGGGTTTTCTGGTCGCTCCTCCTCCATGGTGATACGAGGAATGCCCTGCTCTCTGGATGATACAGACGAGTTCAGTACAGTAGGTTCTCTGTCACGTTCTCTTTCTCGTTCCCTTTCCCGCTCCTTCTCTCTTTCGGACCGCATCCTGGCAGAGTTGGTCCTTCTGTGCTTCGACCCATTGACTGGTGTCGAGTCGGTACCGTTGGATGACGCGCTGCTGTTTCCAGACAGGAAGCTGGAGAGCATCTTGACCGGCGATGACGAGAGGAATGATCTCGAACTGGCCTTCTCCACCTTCGGTGCCATGTTGATGGCCCGTATTACCTTGGTGTAATATGACACCAATGCGGGGACAAGCCTGGGGTTGGCTACACTGAATTGCGAGCTCAGCAACTGGACAATTCTTCGGGACAGGGTTGGTAGGAAGTCCTCCAGAGCAATGTCGTCGGTAAACCTTTTGCCATTGAGGCCAATGGTGTTCATCGATATCCTCTTCATGTCGCCGCATCGGACCTCGGTCACAATCTCCACACCGTAATGGCCGACAGGCGCTCCCTTGGTGCCATTCTCGATGTCAAGTACGACGCGTATTGGCGCTGGCTCCCTGCGGCCCTCGATTAGTTGATGCGCGCCCTCCTGAAAGACTGCGGCATGCAGGCCGAACTGTGCATCCTGCATCTTGACGGAACGCAGGGTCCATGCAGGGTCCTCCCGTTCCTTTTCCGAAAATCTTCCTTCGATTCTGGCCTTGACAATGTCCTCGGTCCACTTGTTGGCCTTGCCTTCGTAGTGCTCGCGAAGGAGAAAACACCTGGTCGTGATGGCCTTGCTGGTGAAATACTCGCCGGCGTGGGCACCCTTCATTTCCTGGGTCGACGTCATCCAAATCAGCCGCCCATCTGTGGACTCGGTGAAGCGGACATCGGCCAGGCTGTGCCATCCAGTAAAGGCAAACTCCCAGGAGCCCTGTCCGCCAGCAGCATTGGTCATGGCTGCCAACAACCCTGCAGGTGACGGCTTGTCGATCTCCTTCAAGAAGTCCCGAGCTGTCCTCTCAGAATCCCCCTTCTTCTGCAGAATGACAACACAATCCGAAAACAGCAGCAGAATGCCTGGTCTGTCGGGAATATCGTCATCGATGTAGGGGGCAGCCAGCTCCACAAAGTCGACAGCCAGGATCAATCGTCCTTGAGGCTCGAGGTCTGCTGGCCAACACTCGACCATTGTGCGCAATCGATGCGTGACATGTGGCTTGTCTGGTAATGGGTCGTCCATGGAGCAGATGTTTGTGATGATATCCCTTGCTCGCAGCAAAACTTGCAGCGCCGGGTGTGTTATTGGAAGGCAGGCAACGATCTGATCGATGAACAAGTTGTACCGGGGAAGCCTCTGGACGGGTTCAATCAGCAGCGACCGGATCGTCTGTTCACCTGTCTGCACCACCCTCTGCCGGAAACTCGACTGCTGGTCGAGAAAATTGTTGAGGAGCTTGGGGAAGTTTTGACTGGCTCGGATGTAGTCCTGGTAGCACTCGGTGAACTTTGGAAACCAGTCGAGAAATAATCTCGCCATCGCCAGAGCACCGCTTGGATCCTTGGCCTTGTTTGGGCTGTTGAGACGCGTCAGAGGAAATGGTGTCTCCATGTCTTTCATGGCCTCCTCTTCACTTTCGTCCATGACTCGGCGGAGCTCTTCCATGAATGCCGAGTTGACCTCGAGAATAGCCTGTGCTGACTTGGGGAACAGCCTCTCTACCTCCTCCTCCGAAGGACTGATGCTCCCTGCCGACCTTTCCTTGGCCTTTTTGTAAAAGTCGACCGCGATGTTGTTGACCAGCTCGTTAAGCTTGAGAACATAACGCTCCTCCGTGTCCACCAACTCGCCCATCTTCATGCGCAGCTCCACCTTTTGGTTCTTGGAGAACGACTTGCTGCGGTTCAACGAGGTTGGTCGTGATGGCGCGCGCCGCAGCTTCGATGTTGGCAAAAACACCGGCTCTCCAAACAATTTGACTATTTGGTTGTATCCGCCATATTGTCTCAACGTCGGATCCAAAATATCGTCTTCATCTTCTGGTACCTCTTCCAAGTCGGCATTTCCTAGCGGCACGATCGATCCAGGCGGTAAAACAAGGTCCATATCCACACAGCCGATGTGCT